TTATATTATTATGGGATTGTCAGATGAGAACACCTTTATGGCAGTTATGAAAAAAGAAAACAAAAAGAGCTGAAGGCCTTTTATTCTTCACTTAACATATTTAGTTTCCCAGAAGGCAGAGGGGATTGCTGACGCCACAGAATATAAACTAAGTAAATAAATAAATTTCCCCGAGGGCGACTTTCTCCTCAATATTTTTTATTTGCTTTTTGAGGTTCGAAGTGTGTCACCTTTGTTATTGTTCCCTGTAGTGGGATGAATAATGTCAGCAATATTCAGCTTTCATATCTGGGAACATCATAACAAGAGAGCAGACACTAGTCAGGAGATGGGAGAATGCATCCCTGTATAGAGCTTGTCAACGACACCTCCTCTCACTGTGGAAAATAATGTGATGACAATGAAACCAAAATTAGATAATTGTTAAATAAAAAAACTGCACTCATGCAAATAAGAGCTACTAAAACTGCTGAGGATTTAAATTACAAGAACCAGCTGGTATAAGAAACGTATCCTCCCAAACTCAGAAACAACTCTACTAAGAGTTTAAGTTCAGATCACCAGAGACGGTCAGATTCATTATTGAATATCTGCACAAAATGTCATAGCAATACATCCAACAGTTGTAAGGATTATTTCAGTCAGGACCAAAGTGGTGGACCGACCCGACCCGGCCTACCAGTTGACAGACCGACATTGTCATCCCCAGAGCTAAAAATGGCTAAAAGAGTGGAGTGCCAGTCAACCTTGTGTTTTTGAAGCTGCTTAGTCATAGGTGTGTGACTGTGTTCCTGCAAGGTGAACAGACTGTTTTAGGAGAGTGATTGCCGGTGGGTCCGTCGGCCAGCTCACCCTCACCTTGTCCAGTATACACGCCTCTCATGCACACGTGCCAATTTTAGCAAGGCCCTCTCTCCGCAGCTGAGATTGCAGCAGCCCTCAAACACATAGATCGTGATTCTCGTTCAACCTACGAGCACTTTCTCTCTCTTTTTCTAATAATAATTTGGATGTTGAAATTGTAGCCTACAAGTGCAAGTGAAAAATACTAATGAGTGTTTCTATTTTTGCTCCATCACAAATTGAGAGCAACTGAGTCTTTCCAAACTGTTTTTAATTCTTCACTGTACTTAACATTCAGTCGTGCATGACTATGATTTACTGTCAGCCATTTCCATAATAGTTGGTAATAACCTTGCCTGTGTAAGAGAGTGATGGGGATTTTATTTTTACATGAGCACCAGCCACATTACCATCATTTGCATCATGTTTCAGATGTCCTCCACTGTGGAGAGATGGGGCTGAAAGATAGAGCATAGGAGGAGGCTGACTAGAGGAACAAATCCACTTAAAGGCAGATGCAGACATCGGAGAGTTTGAGGGGGCCGGAGCTCTGAGAGTGAGGAGTGAGGGGCTCATGTAATGAGGATGTGAGGATGGTGGTAAGAGGGGACATTTTGTCTGATAAAGGTTAACCTGAGACCCTACAAAGGGGTCTACAGGGATGATTCAAAGTGTGGGTTGATGGATGAGTGGTGAAAGGGAGGTCAGTGGAATCATTACTATGTGCTATGCAAAGACATTATGATGAAACTAAACAACAACAATAGCAACACAAAAGTATTAAAGCCACATAAATGACAAAGAGCTTGAATGTGTTTCACTTTAGCATCTTTGGTACAAATGTTCTGAAGACAATGATTTTAAGAATCGGACATCTGCTCCTCTATTGGTCAGATAAACTGACAGTCGTGCCTGGAAAACAAAACCCCAAAATAATGAATTCAAATTCCCAAAAGTAAGAAAACCCAGTGAAAGTTGTGGTAAAGGCAAAGAGGTGATGGAGATTTCACCATTGGAACTGCTGGCAGTGGTGAGTACATTTACCCACGTACTGTACTTAAATACGGTTTTGAGTATTTCTATTTTATGCAACTTTATAGCTCTACTCCACTCCACATTTCAGGGGTAAACATTGTGCTTTTCACTTCACTTTCACTCTTTTATTTGACAGCTTTAGTTACTAGTAACCTTTCAGATTCAGACTATTAAAAAAGAATATAGTCAACAATTAATCATGATGTGTTATTATAGATTGTACCCAGTAGTTCATAAAATTAGCCCCATTTTACTAGCTGCATCATTTAGGTGATGTGCACATGAAAGCATCAATTATAATCCAATTATGTAACATATATTTTGCTGAAATGGGCCATTCAGCATGAGCACTTTGTCTACTACTGACTGATGCTATTAGCAAGTGTTTAAAATGTGTGCCAGGTTTGGACTTCACAGTCACTTAAACATTCCAGCCACACCCTCACACTGAAGGTCAGAGTTCATTGTTATGGTTACGACTGTGTGTATAATTCATGCAGGGGTGGTTGTTATGTTGATGACCAGCAGCTTACGGGATACAAGCTGAGTCTGTGACACAGATATCGACGCAGACCTTGTTACAGAAGACACACCCGACAGCTTTTTGTTTGCGGTCTGGCCAATTTTGATTGCATTATGTATAGCAGGACATCTGATAAGGCTGAGATCCCAGCCACTGGAAATGGCCTCAAATGGCACTGCACAGTCAAATGAGTAATTTGTGATCTGATACTGGAGCAGCAAGGAGATGTCTGCAGACTTATTGGTGCTGACTCTGTTTCTCTTTCTCGTCCTCCTTGTCCCTCCCTACTGCACTGTTTTATTTTACTTGTCTGACTCCTTTTCAACATGAGATCACATTTTCTCTCTCAGCTCCTGACTGATATAAAAACACACATGACTGAGCTTTCAAATACAGGAAGAAGAAGCAAACAAACAAATTTGCTCGGAGGACATAGAATAAGCAGAGATATACAGAATTATAGACGTGGGAAGTGTAAACACAAGTACAGCAATGGGAACCTGAGCTGTCGATGATTATACGTTTGTTTGTTCGTTGGAAATTTTGCCATTTTCATTTGTCTTTCATCATGGTGTCATAGAGGGATATCACTGGATTTTAACATTCAGATATATAGCTTTATTATCTCGAGGATTACTATGATAAGAGTGCAATCACTAGCTCTGTATTTTTTATCTCTGGCTCCACGTGTTTAGATTTTGAGTTGCATCAGTGACTCTCCCACTGTGTTATCCGTCATGTCATGTTAACATTGTGTTAATATAGTAGCTCATTAGGACAAACTGTACAAAAAGGGAAATTACTTTGTCAAGTTCATTTGAATTTAAAAAACAATTGTACACAGAGTGGCAACAGACTGCAGGCTACATCAGTGATTTATACCAAGAGAAAATTACTTGTTATTGAAAATACAACATCACTTTACACAACGTCACTTCAAATTTGTAATATAGCAAAAAAAACATGTGGTTTAACATTCATTCATTAACAGTTTGGACAAATCAAAATGTAGAAAAAGTTAAAACATTTAATGTTTTAATAACACAAAATAAGATCAACTAATCTGGGTCATAGAACATTCAGATAATTTTAAAGTCAAAGAAAACAAGTTCCTGTTTGCATCGGATGATAAATCACTACATGTGTTTTTAAGAAGATGTCAACTTTTGGATAATCTCAGTCAAAGCTGCAATTAATCGAGTTTTAAAAGAAAATGAATGGACAGATATTTTTATAATCAGTAAGCATTTAAGTCATTAATCAAATAAAAAATCTAATCATTAGATGGCTCCAGGTTGTAAAATGTATCTCACATTATGGTTGTATGGTTGTAGACAGTTGGTCGGACATTATTGACGTGACTTTGGGCTCTGAGAGATTGTGATAAGGCATTTTTCACTGCTTTCTGATGTATTATAGACCAAATGATTAACGGAGAAAATAATCAGGAGATTAACAGATGATGTTTCCAGCAAAAACTTAATGAAAGAGAAAAATCCCATTGGAATAATCATGTAATACTGTCATACACTTTTTACTCACAGTTCTTCAATGGCTTTGCTCTTTTTTTGGTCCTGAACCTGCGGCGACCTTGTCGCCGTAGCAATCAGCTGGAACCTGCCCTGTGGAGCCTTTCAGGTTAACTGTTAAACCACTCCTCAGCTGATTTCACCAGCTGCCTCCAAGTTTCTTTTATCTTGACCTTGACTTTCTGTATGTACGAATCCACGTCCGTCAGATTGGCCGGCCTCCAGATACTGGTGACGTCTAACCGGCAGATGCCTCACCAGTTCCAGCTGTGATTGAGATTTTATTGTCCCTGTTGAACATGAAAACCAATGAGCCTCTACAGCAGAGCTTTGCAGTAATTTTAACCCCTTATTATTTAGTCGTTTATGTGGCACAGTAGCATTTATTCCTCATCCGCTAGTTATGTAGATGGTTACTAATTGACCTTGACATAATGCTTCATTAGAAGTGGCTCATAAAGAATCTTAAAATTAAGGTATAGAGATCTTGGAGGACACAGGGTGGGTACTGTAGGTTCAAGAGTCACAGCCTCATCTTCCTTTCCAGCCATCCAAGCATGAAATTGAATTTGTCAGAGGATAACTGCTGCCACCTAAAGGTCAGAGGGCTACCCATACTGTATGTGTATGTAGCTGAAAGGTATTTGCAGATTGTAAAGTCTGATTTAAGTTGCAACAGTTTAAAACCATTTCTTGACAGGCTCCAAACAAAAAGAGGATAACTATCATGAAAAACAACAGTTACTTCAGTTTCACTCAGAGAAATACATTTAACCTGGAAGCACCTGGCGGATAAGTTGACTCACAGTGCGAGACCACCACTGAAGCATGAAATTGAAATTATTGATGGATACATTCTGACACCAAGAGGTCAGAGAGCCACAATGGTCTGCATGTGTACCTGTGGTCATTTGGTGGCTGTGCAGACTTACACGCTGTTTCTAAAACAGTATACTTACACTAAAATGTGTGTCACTATAAAACTACCTTTACTTATACTTTGCATATGTACAGTAATAGATGCTGAAGCCTGTTAGTACATAGAACAGAAAAAAAAAGGAACAAAGGAAAATAATTTCAGTTTTATTTGCCGGAGTACAAAACTGATTATATTGTAAAACTGTTCACTCTTGTGATTATTTAAGGCTACTATCGCAGACACTCCTCCATGGCTTGCAGCTCCTGTAATTCATTGCAGCGAGGGCCACAGTGAAGGCAGAGGAGTCGTCTGACCTTGGGGATGACGGAGAGGGCCGGGCCTCTGGCACCACTGGGAGAAGGAGAGGAGAGAGACACAGAGCTGTTATTTCTACTGATACATCAGTCAAAACAATGAGACAGTGGGAGTTTGGAGATCAAGTCGTAGCTTTTCATCTCATTAAACTTCATGTCCAGTTTAGGGAGTTACATGTTCTTGTTTTCTTCTTACTCACCCATTGAAGTGTAGCTGAGCTAATTTGAAGAGTTGTTGACCCAGTTCAATACTGTCCTCTCCGTACTGGGAGCAAATAGCTATGGCGCTTCGCTCCAGATAGGAGGCTGCATTTTTCCAGTCACCTACAAGAAGCAAAGCAGTAAAATCATAACTGCCCACAACTCTGGTCATGAACACACCTGGAGTTCATTTGACACCCTGGGGTGTCTGAGAATTCTGTTATTGGTTTCTTGACTTTAGCTACTATATCTGAAATTTAACATGACCCTATTAAGCATTTTTTGCTGATAATCAGAGCACCATGAGGCCCTGTGCAGGTTCAGCAGCTGTTAGGATTACTCCTCCATTTAAGTCTGTACCTGGTTTTGGAAAAAGTGTCAAGGTGGTTATTTCTGACCTAAAAATAAGCTCTGCACTGCTGCTCTGCTGCCACAGCCAGTAATGCTTTTATACCTGCTGAAAAGGCACATTAAGTTAATGGGGTTGCTTGATACTTTTCAGTTCCTATCAGTTCATTTTTAATGGTCTTCTCTACTGTTTGACAGAGCATATTTATAGATATCTTGTTGAAAGATTTGTTGTACTGAACTCAACCTGATTGAGCCACAGCTCACACTCAATTTATGTGTTAAGCCTCAAATAAATCGCCAGAGTGCACTGTATATAATATTCATGATTTTTCTTATTTTAAACTGTTAAAACTAAAGTCATCATATTGTATATTTGTTGAAATTATCAATATCATTTTGAACTTAACTCATTTGACTATTATTTTCAATTTTGACTTTAAACAAAATGTCATAATAATGATAAATTATATTTTATCTCTTAAGTTTTACACATGCTCTTGTCCATAAAAAGAGATGGGGAATTAAAAAATCTTAAAAATCTTTATTGTGCTAAAAATTGAGACTTGCCCTTCACTCTATTCAGACTGAAATCCCTACTGTTTGGTAGAGATCCACATTTACCATTAATAGACAAGTTAAACCTTTGAGTGACCATTAGAGGGTTCACCCAGTTTTTTGAGACAATACATGTAGAAATCCTGCTGAGAGACAAAAGCAACATAACCCCCAACTGTGTTAGTGAAGGAAGGGGTGTATTAACCACACAGCTCCCATGCAAATACTCATGCATTCTTTTTCTCACCCATTGTAGCATATGCTCTGGCCATTGCATCTGCCAGCTCCCCTTGTACAGGGTGTGTCTCCGCAAGGATTAGTCCAGACTGACACTGAGCCCTCTTCAACAGACTCAGAGCGTCATCTGAAAGGGGGGGGGGCAGAAGATGTAACAAAGACCTTCTGAACAAATGACAATGATACATTACTGTATCTACATACTGTATCAGCAGCCGTTTCTCACCTGGCCTCTCTCTCTCCATCAGGTCCACAGCCTTCTCTAGGTCGACCCTGATCTCCCGCAGCCTGTGGCTCACTTCAGACGAAGATATACGGTGACCACAGGACGACTGCGAACATATAAATCCTGTTCCTTTGTCCACACTGCTTTTCTGAAAATCATATAGTGTCTCAAATGATTAAGATGGAAACATCAACAACAGTAGAGTAAATCTTCAGAGTAAGTATAAAGAAAGTCACACGCACTTTGACAGATGCTTTGCACTTGCCACACAGGAGTCCAGACTGACGCTGACTACCTCCAACACCCGGCCGCTGCTGTCCGCCCTCTGCACCTTCCTCCGTCTCCTCTTGGGTCAGGGTGCAGGCCTCACACTGACACAGGAAATAGTACTGCTGCTGCAGGAGATGCTGGCGTTCTTGGGTCACCATCCTACTGCTTTGAGGACCTGAAGGAGGGACAATAAAGATAGTTCGAGAACCACACAGTCGAGAGTGCATTCTCAAATCAAAGTGATTCTGATTAATTCAAATGTTCTTACCATAGCAGTGCAGAATCTCTTGTCCTGCAGTGATACCTTTGGCTGCTCTCACAGTTACAGTGACTCCGCGGGCTGAGCCTCTGTGCTCGGCTACACTCTCACCGAAGTCTGCAGACACATCTAATCCGAGGGGATCAACACTAGCTCCGGTGCTGAACGCCAGGCTGGTGTTGGGACAACAGGAGTGATTCAGAAGGCTAAGAGTTGGGAATATTGCCGTAGCAATGCGGATTTCCCGGCTGGACTGCACTGGTGAGTTTGTTGCTCCTGCAAAAATCAGAGTAAAGGTCCTAGTGAACATTCATAGCAGAGGATGTGATTATTAAACAGGCACCAATTCTTCTATAGTGGATTCTACCACACTATAAGCATGGACACAGTTACAGTGGAACTGACCAATTAATCAATTAGTTGATCGCCAGAAAATCGATAAACAATTAAGATAAATGATTAAAAGTAATTTTAAGCCAAAAATACCGCAAATTCACCGGCTCTAACTTCTCAAATGTCAAGGTTTGAGGTTTTCTATGAAAAAAACATAATACCTTTGGATTATGGACCTTCAGTCAAACATTCTTTTTCTGACAATTTATAGGCCAAATAACATTATTACTATTGATTAATATAGAAAATTAGAGTAATTGATAATGTATAATAATAATAATAATAATCCTGTGGACCTAAATTGAAGAAAAATTAATTTTTTAACTTCATTAAAAATAATCGAATTACAGAAATAGAGGTAAAAAAGATATATGACTTCGTCACACCACTGCAAGTCGTCCTAAAAAAATATTTTGTTTGATATTTTTATGCATGTGGAATCATCTTTAAGCTGCTCATCCATCTCTTCTTCCAACCGATTCACTCTGAATTGATGCAGCACTAAGATAGATAACACTGTATGAAATCTGTATGAGTTACCTGTATCTTGCAACATCAGGATTGCCTGCGCGTTACACCTAAGCTGCAGAATGTGTCTCAGAACTGCACTTCCCAGCAGCCACAGCTCCGTGCTCCAATGTGCGTTACCTCCCTCCTCGTCTGGTGATTGCCCGTTTGTCCCCGAGGGCCCACTGAGGGCCCAAGATGGAGGTGGAGGTCCTGCCTTACTGAGCCTCAGGTAGAGTGTTGCTACGGTAACAGCACTCAGGAAACGCAGAGCAGGGCTATGGCGATTTAGGTGGTGCAGTAAGTGAAACACGCTCAGGTAAGAGTCACCGAAGTATGAAGCAGAAGGATCGGGTTGATTTGTACGACATGAATAGGACTCACTGGACTCTCTCTTTAGGCAGCCTGGCTCTGACTTTGTGTGCTCGTCTCTGATTGGTTCCCTGGCCATTTGGATGTTTTTTAACCCTGCCTTTAGTGTGACCCTCAGAGCGAGCTGTGACATCACACCCATCACCATCAGATCTGCTCCCAGTGCACATTCCCAGCAGTGATGTTCTTCCCAGGCGTCCCGCTGACAGCCAGTTGAACAGTATCGGCTGTAACTACATCCTTCACACGGCACAGGACACAATGTGTCAGTCAGACACCTGTGACAGCACCTGTGCTCTATTCCAAACATTCCTCTCTTCCCTTTCTCTTCCTCCATCCCCGGTATGAGGACACAGCTGTACGGCCTGTCATTAAGGATCACCTCCCCTGCTGCTATTCTCTCTGCTGCCACCAAGTGTCGACCTTTCTCCGGGCTGAAGCCAACAGTAGCTTGAGGACAAATCCCACATGTGAGACAATCAACAGATGGTGCTTTGACCCCATCTGGACCTTTGTGATTCTTTGAGGCAAGATTGTGATGATCCTCTTTTCCGTTTTGACCTCCAGAGAGGTGTTTGAGACACTGTGTGCGACGGTCCTCCAGTTTGTGTGAAAGATGAGAGGGGTAGCCATTCTTCAGGGCTTTGTCAATATCATCAAGACATTCCTGAGTAAAACAGAAATAGTGGAGTGTGAGCCACGACAAAATCCAAGCTTGTGAGCAAAACGTCAGATGGATGACTTTTACTAACTTATAAAAGTCAGCATTTTCGCTATAAAATGTTTAAAGTCTAGGATTGAGTATTAATCTAAACCTAAACGAGGAAACAAAGACGTGAGATGGGAATAGTTAAGCCATCTCTGCCTACAGCACAGAACAGATGAGCTGGAACAACTTGTGACTGATGTGAAGAAAAAGAAAATGAGTCAATCTAATGTGTAAAGCTTGGATATGACAATTTGTTCACATTCTTACCAGTTTTCACTGGCTTCATAAGTACGTCATTTCACATGAGACGTAGGCTTCTCTGTCATTCAACTAATAAGTATATTAGAGATGTTTGGGTAAAAATGAGTAATAGCAGGAGAGGAGGTTTTCTTGGCTTGGCCACAGTCAGTGTGGGTTGAGCTGAAGACAAGCAGCAGTTCAATTCTTGTTGTAGGTTCCTGGCAGATTGATGTTCCCCCAACAACAAAACACACAGGTTTCCTACGCTTTGGGTAACAAAATCAGCAGGATTGTTACAACACTTGGGGTTAGAGCTAAGTGTCTATCCTCTAATCATACTCCCTGTTAGCAGTTATACAGGTACACCTAGTTAAAAGCAAAGCAGTCTAATACAGCAGCCCTGCAATGAATCCTCCTTCAAGAGGTTTATACGGTTCTGTTTATATTGAAATTGTTTCGTTGTTAGAATGCAATACAGTTCAACAGCGACACAAACCGCAGTCTCCAAAATGACCATAAAGTTGAATCAACACCTCTCTAAAACGGTTTCAACACAATCTGAACATTATAAGCCTCATGAATGTGGCCTCTATCGCTGGACTGTTCTATCAGACTCCATTAGTTTTAGCCTGGTGTGCCTAATAAACTGCCAACTGAGTGTATATTGCCTGGATGACCTAGTTGGGAAAACACTTTAATGTCAGTGATATGTGTGAAAAGATCAAAACCTTGACAAAATATTATTTGATAATAACCAAATTATTAATGGGCTCTTGCAAATAATCTAGTATAAACAGCAATGCTAAGCTTGTGAGTGTACTGTTTACATGTAATAACTGGTCTACACAGGTTTTAATGATAATACAAGTGCTACACTGCTTCGGTATTTAATTGTGGAGGGTGGCTCTGTCTCACCTGGTAGCGCTGCAGATGGTGGAGCGCAGCCGAGCGGTTGGCATAACACAGAGACAGCTGCTGCGAACTTTGAGGAGCAAAACATATACCCTGTCATGACAGGAGACAGAAGCTGAGTGTTGGTGCGCATTAATTAGGACTGAGAGGCATGTCAACTTTAAAGCATACTGCTATTTCATCCCTAATGCATTTTTAGACTACTGCTCTCAAAAATGTAAACATATTATTTGAAACCAGTTTACAAAGATATTATTTTTTTCAGTTTTACAATATATAATGGTTATAGATTAATGCAAATTTCTCTGGTGAACATCTGGTTACTTCTGTATCACATCACAACTATTACACTACTATTATTACATTAAATGTCAACTGCAATACCATCAACTAAAACATTAACTAGACAAACGGATAAAAATTATTGCAAACACTAATGTAACAAGATAGGAAAGAAATGACAGTTGGACATAATCAAAAGCTAGGTGGTACTTTGAATGGAATGATGGACTTTTACATTCAATCTGATTATTGTGGTGGATTGAAGTTTCTGTTTTCTGGCCAAGACTTTATGACTTAAACCACAGATGATTGTTGTCACCTCACCTGTGAATAGTGGAGAGCGGCTGCAGTGTAGTCTCTGGTCTTGAAGTTTGAGTTACCCTTCTCCCTGCATTTGGCTGCTTGCTCTGTGTCCTTCTGCACTGAGTGTCCTGCAGAGATCGACTGCAGAAAATCAAGATCATCCTGGCTGGAAAACAGAGATATGTACCATTAGAAATACACAGAGGAAACTGATCAACAACTAAGCCAATACCTTGTTCAAAAACTTTTCCCAGAAGCATTATCATGGATTTATTGGTGGTTTATTGACAAATTACATAGAATTGATTATGGAATTTATTCACTTTGAACAAGTCTGCTTTGTGAACAGAGAAATGGATACGTGGTTCACCCGGCTACAATGCATTGTCCCTTTGTAGCTGATGAAAACATTACGTTTTAAATAGTTTTATAGTTAATAGTTTATAGTTTTTACCAGGATAAACTGAAGTGTAACACTGATCAGATCGATAAATCCACTAGCACAATAGTTAGCCAGCTACTCACGTTGTCAGAGTTAAGGCACACTTAAAAACATCATCTATTTCAAGCAGGGATGTGAAATGCTCCTTTAACTCGGGGGCGAGTCCAGTCCATTTCTGTGCAACGTGATCTTGCCACTGGACACACGGAAGATCCATCATGAGGTATAAGGAAGCCTCATTAGCACCGCAGACCAGCTTTGGGTTTATTTTGAGTCCGTTTCACGCCACTTTTAAACAGTGACAACACCACTGTCAAGTTAGCTTGGACCTAAAGAGAGTTTCCGATAAGAACCTTCAAAATAAAACCCTTGAACCCCTTGCTGTCCAATTCAAATTAAATAAGGCAATCATAATTAAGTGTCGAGAAAAATGTCCTTCGTTTTCTAATAAACCTTTCGAAACGAATCAGAATTTGTCTAAAATGCATTGTCATAAACAAAGCTTATTCCACAGGGCAAGAAAAAAGTGAGGTTTTCAGAGAGATGTAGAATTTTCATTGGACATAAACAACTTAATACATTAAATGTAATTAATTTCATTCCAGGCTTTTTGACGGCCTCCCCCATATTGCTGCCCTAGGTATTTCGTTCCACCATTCCTCCCAGTAACTACACCACTGCTCGTACTAGTGCTATGCCATTATGTCGGCCTCGCAATATCCTTACCAAATCTCCTTTATTTTGAAGGCATAAATACGCCATATCCGGTGTAGTACCCTTTGTGATTAAGTTGCTTTTTGTAGTCATTGCGAAAGTATCGTTTGTCTCGCTTCTCTCGCGATAAGTGCCATGCCTTTACCTTGGGTTTCGCATGAAAACAGCTAAAGTCTGCGGGCTTTAAGAACAACTTTACCCGGGAGAGATGAGTGTTACACTCACAGAGGGGGCGGTTGAAGTAAATATGAATATAATATAACTGACTTTCCGACTTTTTCTTGATTCGATGTCGCCAGGCTGATATTTAGCCATGTAGCTCTACTTGCTGCAGCATGCTAGCGAGCTAGTCTGATTTAAAGAGTCAGCTGCACCTACAGCTCAAAATGTTTAAACTTTGATTATCTTTGAAAATTTGTCAAATAGTGAGTTTCTCTTCATATGTGGGTGATTGGGGAAATGCTGATATGCTTTATTTATTCAAATACTGACACACAACAATGCTATGATTAAGTTGTCAGAATAAAATCTTGATATTTGGCCACGTCTTCCCAGTATTTAGGCGTCCAGACAGTTGATGAATGTCCGTTCAGCTGATAAACTAATGTTTACTTGGTAGGGGCAGTACAAAATAATTGCTATTTCATTAGTCTCCAATAATATTTAATTTTGACTTTTTACATTAGCAAGGTGGTAATGTGGTGGGACATGACGAGGCGAAGATGGAGGCACTAATAAGTGAAAATCCTTTTTTTGTGTAGGCCCTGCTCAAAGGCTCACACATGAACAATCCCGTGCTGCAGATGCTGGTGAGTAGATTTTAGGAGTCCACTTGACCAGCCAGTCCAACTGTATTTTATTTCAAACTCCACTTTGAAAGGGTACATGGATAAAATCCTTTATTACAGTATGTGTAACTTCATATCATGATGTATGGGATATAATACATTTTAATTGAGAAACCAGTTGTGGATAAAATTGAGTAGATGGGAGTTTCTTCTTTTAGCATATCCAGTATATTAAATTTGTGACAAGTTGAGGTACAGACTTACTCATCATGATCAGTGGTCCAGCACAACTAAAGACATTTAAAGGGACAGCTTTGCTATAAATGCTCTTTGTCTGTTCTGTCACACTAACAAATAACTATAAAGAAAATGTAGTATAAGTATCCTTCCTTCTCTCTGTGCTTGTCAGAGCATGCGTCAAATCAGTAACACCACAGGCCCAACCAGGTTCCGGCTTATGATGAGTGACGGTCAGCACTATTGGTCTTGTGAGTATCATACAGTAACTTTGATACTGTGGGTTCAGTTTGCTAAGGCACTGATAGGTCTCTGGTGTGTTGGTAACACAATGACATGGGATCCAACAAGGGTAATGTTATCAATTACAAAATACAGCAGTAGTGCTAAGGAAAATTTGCAGCTCAGAAGATCAGATCTGATATGTACATGATTATATTTGATTTGGATGTGTTCGTTTGTGTGTGTGTAGCCTTCCTGTTGGCCACCCAGTTAAACAAACTGGCAGAAGAGAACCTCCTGTTACCAAACTGTGTGTGTATGCTGACCAAGACCATCACCAACACATTGGCAGATGGCAGGTATGTGTTTTCTCTCTGTTTCCTTCCTCTCCTTTCTTTTTGTGGCTCTATTTTTACTCTCTCCCACTTCTTGTGTTCCAGGCATGTGGTGGTTGTGATGGGCATGGACATATTGCAATCAGCTGAGGAAACTGGAGGGAAGATAGGGAATCCCACTCCGTTTAATACAGATGGTATGTTCTTTTTGAAATGTGAATGCATGAAGTTAGAAACACGAATAAATATCATCTGCAGGTCCCTTATGCTCTCTTTATTCAATTTACAGAAAAGTCGTCATCTCCGCAGAAGTTTGCCTCAAGCACCTCTGCCTCACCAAGCCCTTCATCAGCTGCAGTACCTGGACCCTCCTATGTCAACAACAGCAGTGAGTGTCATATCAAAGATTTTTTTATATATGATTTCATGTTTCTGTATATATGATCCTCTCGGTTGTTACAAGTGCAGGTCAGTGTTAAGAGTCTTTACATATATAAGTCTTAAATATGCCTTTATTCCAGTTTCTTGCATGGCTTAAGTACCTTTGTATGTTGTTGCCTTCTCATTCACAGCAGCAGTTATTAAAGTGAAATGTGATTAGTGCTTAGCGGTATCATATTTTGCAGTGAATAGGTGATGTATCCTGAGGAGCAGAACTCCTTGTTTTGAGAAAGTTTACTTCAGCCAACAAATTGGATGAATTTCACTTGTATCCCTCAAGCACACAGTTATTGATTAGTACACTTATATTTCCAGATATTCTAAGAATATACAACACTAAAATCATTGCTTTCCATGCACAAGTGAGCAACATGAGGCTGATGCAGATTAGATACAATTCATTTAGTTTAAAAAAATGTCTGGTCTGTGGTTTTTTTTAAACTAGTAGCACACGTGGAGTATTGACAGCAGTACAAAAATATATGTGTTCATTTCCAAGCCACTGCAAGCAAGGCAGAGATGTCTAAATAAATCAGTTTTAAACACAACAAAGCACTGCCTCCAGAGGCCCCCAAGCTCTGTTTGTGGATATTACATGCCATATAGATTAATACTACTTATTTGCAGTGCAGATTACAGTAATTAAATACCTCACTAATATAAACAAGTTCTTATTTCTTCATTTAGCAGTTAAATGCACTGATCATTAGGGCTTTACTCAGTCTAAATACAGTTTTGTCAACTAGAAGTCACTGACTTTATTATGCGGTCATGCAGAAGGAGCGCTTGAAATGTTGTGCTTGTAGAGGACCAAACCATAGCTATCAATAGTAATATGAAGCCAGGGAAACAAGTTAGGATCATTTTCAAGTAATAATTAACTGAACACAATTTAGGACTTAGTAAAATGTTAACTTCTTTGTTAAAAAAGGAATTATTGTGTCTTCATTTTAAATGATCCTCTGCCTCTGAGTTCATTCCTTAGTCTCAGATCTTAACATGAGTATTATTCAGGCGTGTTGCACTGTGGTAAGAACCTAATAGTACTTTCAGATTAACAGGAAAATTTGGGATTGGTTGGATTCTTTAGCTTTGCCCCAGTTATTTCAGAGAATATTCAAATAATTTGACAAACTCTAATCTCGCCAACAGAGGGAGCCATGTACCCTTTAAAGGAAGGCAGCTGATGAATGATTTGCAGTTCCCACACTATTTTTTCTCCTCATTGCTGTTGTCTGTTCATAATTTGGGGACCAACATAGTCTTTGTTGTTTGGCTTTCAATCTCATTTACCATACCACACCGACTAAAAAGTAAAGTTTTCGTTCCTTTAAAATTCATAACACTACAGTGTTCAAAGGCTGTAGTCTGAGTGTGGGTGAAGAACGAGATGAAACAGGATCATAAGGCACAGCATGGTCCTCTACCAGTTGAAGGTAGCCACAGGAAATGCTAAATTAATGGAAGAGTGCAGTTCCTTCAGCTCAAATGCCTTTTTTATACATCACATAGTGCACTTTTATCATATTTACTGCCCAGCCATCAGAGCAGGAAACTATCTTGTTGCCCACTGGCCACCGCTGCTGGTGGAGTCTATAACTCACCCCTTCACTGTTTTAATACCAACCAGAATTTTATAACAAAATAGGACCCCGAATGATGGTTGGTTTCCTGCCAAAATGGCTGCTGCCATGTATCATGCTCAAAGTAGCCTGTGTTTTATTGGATCTTCTTTTATTAGCTTAGCCTTTGTTTCACTCAGTTGTTTTATACCACCAACTGCTCACAGCATCGACATTGATTTTGTTATGTGGCAGGAACATACCCAATAGTCCTCCTCAGTGGAGGATGTAGCCATGTGGGCGGATAATGAGTGCTTGGTATATATTGTGTGTTTGTGCATGTGTAGGTGTGTGTCCGTATGTGTGTTGTGACTGAGGGAGCTTGTGTGGGCCGATGGCTCCTCCAGTTCATGGCTTCATGAATATTGTGTTGTGGACCGAATCCCCATGTAGCGATGCACAGACGGAAAGAGAGAAAGAAAGTCAACTAATTTGACTCTGCAAAGGTGAGGCTCTGCATTAAGTAGTTCATCAGACTCTTTCCTCGTTATATCTTTTGATCCATGTTACTTCAGAGATCCCACCAGTTACAGAAAACCTGCTGCTCTGTTTAATTGTTCTGTTGATGAAATGGTCCTGTATTCCTCTTTAGAGACAAAAGCAAACCTTATGCACAAAGTCTGAAAGCGTTTTCTCCAGTTGAATGCGGCTAAGTGTTTGATTACTTTCCAATATTTTTGTAAATTGCATTTGCAGTAGGTCAATGAATTTGTGTGCATTCACAAAACTGTCAAATTCCACAAATGAAGTGTTTCCAATGGGCTGTGGGCAATGTAATGACTAGGGAGGCCGCTGTTTTATCAGAGGTTCTGGGTTAAAGCCACTGTAAAGACTACAGTCTTTGAGCAACACACTGAATCTCTGGGCGCTTCCATTTGGCTAATTTAGCTTCTTACTTCCTTCACTTGTGTCTCTTCCTCGTGTCTTAGTAGCTCCTGCCAGTGGGGATGCGACAGAGAGCTAAGATGCTAGGAGGAGATGCAAAGGCAGAAGAGTTGTTTTTACCAAACAGGACTTCCTTCCTCACTCCAGGGTCATTTTCATGAGACTGCTCCTACTCATGATGCACAACATCTCAACTGTCCCATAATTAAATATGAATTTCAAAAGAAATTACCTGAAGCCTGATGACTGCTGCTCCAGTACCAATTATAGATCTATTGCTGTGTCAAAACATGATATAAATAACATCAACAGACAAATACATTAGTTTATTCCTAAATAAAATCAATAATTTGGCTGTGAGGCTACAGGTATATTAAGTCCATATTATACAGGCTGGATTTTATAGGACAGATAATTCTGTGACTGATCAGTTGTTTAGGACAAACATTCTCCCGAATAAGCCAAGATACACTTGGAGCAAAAAAAAAGAGAAGCAGAAAGGAAAAGTCTTTCACTGATGAAGGAAACAGTTTTTTGATTCATTCAGGATTCAGAATAAAAACATCTAATTATTTTTATTCCCTAAATGTTACTGGTGTTGGGATTTGTTTGTACACAGTCTGCTCAACCAGCGGTACTGCAATCAGACAACCAACCACCTGTCTGCTCCCATACTGTCTCATTACATCAGCTGACCAATCACAGAACAGCTTCAGATTGAAACAGTGTTGCTATGTGGTTTTTAAAAAAAAAAAAACTTCTACAGAAGGATACACCTGTAATATCTCCCTCCTCCCGTCACACTCCTTGTCTTCTCCAAGACATATTTTTTAAGGATTTGAACGTCCTTGATGGCAGACCTTAATCCAGGTCAAGTGCCAGAGGACGGAGGAGCGAGGATGGGAAGAAGCGTATTTAAATGAATGGAAAGCCCCCCCCTGTCAACTCTAGGTATTCTGTTCTGTAGTGACCTCTGACCTCCATGACATTGGAGTGGGAGGATGTGATCAGAGAACATTTTTTCTTCAGGTGCCAGCAGAGTTTGGAGAGCAAATTTGAAAAATGTTTGGAGCATTTGATACAGGTTGAGCATGTCAATCACAGGTGATACTGTACTCTCTCTATTCAAAAGTATCAATATTCTGAAGTAATAGACAAAAAACACTCTTTAACAGTAGGTGTAGAGTCAGAGGTCATGACACAGTAGCCACCGACAGTTTTGTGTTACCAGTTAAATATTCATCAGCAGCCATCACTTAAAATACACTAGCTTCAAACTGCTTCGCCGATGATATTTAAATTCCAGTGAGATCTGCGCTCGCTGAAGTGCAGCTAAAAAAAATATTCATTATTCATCAGTAACCATTCTCTGCAGGTTTCCTTTGTCCTCACAACTCTTTCTCTCTTCTCCTCCCTCTGTCTCTTAGAAAACACACACACTTCACACACTCTCCTTCTTATTCACTTTCTCTATTTATCGCTATTTTCTTGTCTATACATTTCTCTCCTCCTACATTGTCTTCACCACCAAGCACACTTTACAAACACTGTTGGCATACATATTAGGAGCATGTTCTGATCTTAATGACAAAAAATGAGGATCCTTGATAAAGCTCTGTGCCGCTCTTCGCTCTGTTCTTCACCCTCCCTCCACCCGTTCCCATCGCCTATCATCTCCCCTTCTCTTCTTTCACCACCAGCTCCTTCCCTCTAACACTCTATCCAGATACCGTGTGTATGAATATTGATGTTAATTACCCCTCGCCTGAAAATAGCTGTTCAACCTGTGATTTCCCCGAGGAATGTACTCAAGACACACACACACACACACACACACACACACACACACACACACACAAGTACAAGGAGGGTGTCATAGAGGTGAATATTTGTTGTTCTCCAGCATTGGAGCTTAAATCGGTCGAGTGGTCTCTGTGTAATTGCATCTTTTTTATCCCAGACAATTCTTCCCCCAATTGCTGTTGCCCAATATGGCAGATCATTCATGCCAAAATGAGGCATTGCATAGAATGCATTCTGACAGCAGCTATCTATCTATCCTGCTGATGGGGCTGATGCTAATTTATTGTGGGAGGTGGGATAACACCTTGTGATTCTGGGGGCTGGTCCAAACTGTGCAAGTTTTCTGGCATTGTCATTTGTCAAAAGAAGAGGAAATTATGTTTTCAGGTCGTCCGTCTGTCTGCCACAGGTAAACTCATGAATGCCTTGAGGGAACTTTCTCCGATTTGGCACAAATTTGGACTCAAGGATAAACTGATTCAGAATTTGGTGGTTAAATGTCACTCATGTCATAATTAACTGTGACTGGATTGGTTGGCAGAGGCGCAAAACAATGTGGCAGTAATTTTAGTTTTAGAAATAAAAGGAAGTTATCCTTTTTTTTTGGAAATTTTTATGTCTTTATTTGATAGGACTGAAGATTGACAGGAAATACAGGGACAGAGAGCAGGAGAATGACATGTAGTCGAACCAGGGACTTGCTGCTTAGGGCATTTGCGCCCAGGTGGTATGCGCTCTAACCACTTGGCTATAAGGTCGCTCCAAGGAATGAACCTGATTTGAGTAAGTACTGATAGTATTTAAGTTCAAGTTATTAATTAGACATTAGGGCCAAGTTCTACTCTGTCAGACCTACTTCGTTCAACATGCTTTTTCTGACCAGCTACACTAGAAGGGCGGAATGAAGAGTTGGCCGTCGCAGAGCGGGAGGAGACGCAGTATAATGGCACATGTTTTCAGACAAGTTCTCCAGGAAGACATTCGTAGTTTTGCACTCAGTTCTTCAAATGAAAAGTACCACAAATAGTTGTGTAGCAAATAAAAAAAAAGACAGTTTGAGAGAAAAGTTCAGTCCCAGCGTACTTTCTCAGCACAGCTGGCCAGTCACAGCATGAAGTGGGTGTGAATGTTGAATTGTTAGTTTTGAAAAGTCACAGAAATGGTCGAACACAGCCACCCCCCCCTAGTAAGGGTGGGGTGGGGTGGGGGGGTCTGAATCTATCGAACCATCCAACAAGCCCTTTGGACAGAGTATACTGGCCCCTTAGTATCTGACAGAAGTAAATATATATATACCTTCTGTTGTTACTACACAATATAATAAATGTATGAAATATGGATTATTGGAAGCATCTGTGGGAAACAACCTATAACTTTAGCCTTCCTCATTTTGTGCTCTTACTGTATTTTTCATGTTTCGTTTTAAAATAAGTGCAACACTCTAAACTTTATTTCTTGTCTTTCACTCAAAACTATCGTCATGATGCATGGAATGTGTTTAAGACTAGTATTTACAGATTTATGTCTGGTGTCTTGGCCACAAGGCTGATATGCTGATAACAAATTGTAATTATCATTATTATTTTTGCTATGACTGAAAGGCATAATTACAGTAATTATGAAATTAATAATTCTTTGGCAGCCTTACCCATGAGGAAAAACACTGTTCAAATCATTGGCAGAAACTGATGTTATGGAGAGATCTGTAGGGAGGGTTTAACTTTCTCAGCTATTTTACTATTTTGGCAGCTGCTCACATGATCAGATAACAGTGCTACCACTTCTACTTTGTAACTGCTAAAATATTTTGTCAGGGTGTTTTAATTAAGTTTGTAAATCTGGTAGGAGCTCTATCAGTTACATATCAGTTTCTGCAAATAAATTTGTCAACATCAGATCCTGCTATTGATAAGTTTGTACTTTGAGATAATAACTATCTCACAATGTATGGAACGTCTCTGCAGTCAATGAAGAAATTATAAAAATGCTATATTTCTGTATAAATAAGCATAATTGATCCAGACAATTGTTTAAATATGCAGTTAGAAAGAAATGAGCTTGCCAGACCTCTGTAGCCCACTCTTGCTTTGCTTTTTACTCTATACTACATTAGTATATTACTAATCCTTTGGAGACATTGGAGAATCTAGAACCAGAAAATATTGTGTAAGTTTTTGCTTGATAAATGAAAAGATCTATGTTGACAAATAAATTAATTTGCTAATCTTTTAGCACTATTAAATTGCCATTTTATTAATTTGATGTTCTCCTAAAGTATTTTAATTTTTTTCCCAGCAGCCCCTTGTCCTCCCCGAGGCCGTGGAAGTGGTTTTGTGGGAAAGTCGCCCATGCAGGCTTCACCCATGAAGGCTTCACCCTCAAAGTTTTCACCCATGCAGGCTTCACCCATGAAGGCCTCACCCTCAAAGTTTTCACCCATGCAGGCTTCACCCATGAAGGCTTCACCCTCAAAGTTTTCACCCATGAAGGCCTCACCCTCAAAGTTTTCACCCATGAAGGCTTCACCCTCAAAGTTTTCACCCATGAAGGCTTCATCCAGCTCATCTCCAGGTTCTTCAACTAAAGTGATTCCGATTGCTACCCTCAACCCCTACCAAAGCAAGTAAGTTGTGTGTATGTCCATGTTTGTATGTGCCTGCTTGGTGTCTGTAAGAGAATTTAAACATGACTTAAATTCTATAGTGGATAGTCACAAAGCAGTGAACTTGACATATGTGTATTCCCTCTCATATTCCAAGAAAACCTCTTCTGTATACGTTCATTTATGATATGATTTCACTTTGATTTTTTTTTCCTCCCCTTCTGCTCAACCATCAGCTGAACTATTTCCGCTCATGCTCTGCCTCTACGTCCCTGTTTGCTGCTATTTCTGAGTGGCACTTCGGGGCATGTTTGGAAATGTGTGTATAAGTGTTTCTGCATGCATGTGCAACCAATCTTTTTTTTTTTTTTTTTTTGTCATTGCGTGTAGCTGTGTGGATTTGTGCGTGTGCCTGTTAGTCAGCCCATTTGTATGGAAATGAAATGAAATGACCAATCTCGCCTCAGAAACGGACACTTTAATGGCAGGTACTGCTGGGTCTTTATGATCTGCTGCTGAGGTTTTGATTCTGTTACTTCGCCCAGTGGGGATTTGACCAACCTGGTTTTTTTCCACCCTTCCTTCCTTTACCTCCTCCAGGGCTCCATTTTACTGCTTTTTTCTCCCCCTCTTGCTTCTTATCGTTTCATTAGGCTTAAGTCTCTGTCTCTGACCTTAAAGTTGGCCACAAAAAGACAAGAGCACAGTATAGCAAGATGTAGTTGTCCAGATTGGAGTAAAAGTACCCTGTCAACTCCCCCTCTGTGTTTGGGCTCTGATAACGTAGCTCTGTTTGAAATTGCAAGCTGTAAAGATAACTGTGCCTGTAGGAGTTGTAATAAACTGATGACTGTTCTAACTTTGAAGTTGGGGAGTACCTACAGTGAGTAAAACAGATGACTTCAGCAGCTGTGGTTCTTCCACGTATGTTTGCATGAGATGAAAAGTGTGTGTCCATCTGTGACACAAAGTGTTTCATACGGTAGATGCTGTGTATTTGCACATGGTCTTTTATGTTCCGTTTGCATGGCTTTCTCATCCCATTCTACTCGTGTTAAGTAATAGCATCTAGAGCAGACTATAATTGACTTTTGGCTGCCATAAAACCTCAGTGTAGCAGTCTTATCCATACTGAGCAGGGAATGGGGTTCACTCTGGGCCAGCAGCTGCTCTCATGATAGGGGATTTAATTGCAGGCAAAGTTATGGTATGAATATCCTCCACTGCACAATTATCAGCGCAGTCAAAAAGCTCACTGCTGCATAAACTGCCGAGCTCGGCTGGCTGTTGTTAAAAACAGAATGAGAAGCACATTTTAAATGCATCCAGGAGTTGGCAGATGTACAACACCTAGTTCACTCTTTGAAAAGAAAGTTGTTGGATGCTTTTTTTGTCTTTCATAGAACTTAAAAAGAAAAACTGAAAAGACACTCATCCAGTTTCCTTGGGAATTGTTCTTCTGCGCAAGTGTATTTCACATTGGTAACTGATGTGAGCTAAGATGGGATGCTCATTAACAAAAAAGGAAGCTTTTTAAAGTGTCTCTGCAGCATTTTTTTTCTGTGTGAGCTGACCCTTAGACTGCAACTTCAGTTAAGTTGGACATAACTGTGTTGGTCAAAGGAAAGTAAAAAAATATTCATAACAAGGATATACTGTATAATAAGTGTTGTATATGCACTGACATAAAAGAAATCTGTCACTGGAAATGGAAAATGAAAACATGATGGCAGGCATTTATGTAACTGCTGCAAGTAAAACATTTTGTGAGCTTAGATTTTCTGATGTAGTATTACAGATGTCCACTCTGTGTATATCCTTAGGTGGACTATCAGAGCCCGAGTCACCAACAAGTCCAAAGTCCGCACCTGGAGTAACTCAAAAGGAGAGGGCAAGCTCTTCTCCTTTGACATAGTGGATGAGAGTGTGAGTATAGAAGCAGAGAGGTCTGAGTATCTGTCTGTTGCATATCAACACACGTCACACATGGCTGTTTTTTGTTCTATCCGTTCAACAAGATGTTGCTTAATGGAAATATTCTCGTCCGCAGGGAGAAATCAAGATCACAGCCTTCAACAAGGAGGTGGACAAGTTTTTCTCTCTAGTGGAGCAAGGCAAGGTGAGCAAGTCCCACTCACCCATATCCATCCACATTTTATGTGATAAGAGCTTGTTGGACGTTTCACATAAAAAACGATAACTTGAGCATGTGTTGCGCATTTGCCAGGAAGCTGCAAGTAAATGTTTGTACTGACATTCTCTCCAAAGGAGCTTTCACACGTAGCCGTGTTAGTCATTAACGCAAGACTCCCTTTGACAGCAGCAAGACAATATCTACAGGCTATAACAAATTTGCAAACTACTTGCAGACTAAGCCTCAGTGACGTGTCCATTTTGTATGCACACAGCACCTCAGTGTATCATTGGTAAAATAGTGTCTAATAAACCCCTTCTGCAAAATCCTCCCATGCCTGCAGGACTTCTGGCCAATGAATGAGCTGGAGGCAAGTATTAGAGGATTTTGTGGATGGGATTTATTAACTCACATTTTACTGAAATATATATGTTTGAGACATACTGAGTAGTTGAGTGGATGTATAAGGCCGGGAATATGAAACAAATTGCAGTTTGAGAAAATGTTTAAAATCTGACATTATTGTTTTATTGTTTTGCTGTTTTTAAAGTGTCCGGTTGTCTTCATTGCCAGTCTTACAGGCTGTGTTCTCCATGGAGGATTCATGTATATAGTTTTTCAGGGCTTAAGTGGTTGCCGCAGTGATTATAACTCTTGAGGCAAGTATTCCTGTAAGATATTAGAGGATAGGCTTGGATTTGTATCTGTCTTAACACAATAATAACATGCTGATATGTATTTTGAGAGTATTAATGCTCATTGTCATCATTCCTCCTCTCCATTCTGGGAATGAGGCAACCCCTTCATAGAGAGACTACATTGTATTAGGCATCAGCAGTCTTAAGTTAGCCTAATTAACTCACCATCTTTGTTCTGGTAGTCACACGTTGGTTTATTTTTATTGTGTTGTGTCCAAGGTCGTCTCCTGCAGTCATGGCTCAGGAAGAGCATAAAAGATACACTTCAGTTTTAATCAATCCAATACTTGTTGTCCTTGCATATTTTTAGACTCCAACTTGATTCTCCTGTGCTGTGTGTATGTAACTACAGTGATTGTGTGTTGATCTGCAACTGTGCCTGAACGCCTCCAGTGTAGACGCACACAGTTGCTGAGCTGCTGCTCACACTGCATGCACACCTGCTGTGTAAACATGGTGTTAGAAGACGCTGTGCAGGGAAACACTAAGAGGGAATTTCATTCAAGGAATCAAAGGAGGACGTAACTTTGGAAGATACCCACTTGATTTGGTAAAAATTCAGAATACTGAAAACTCATATTAACTTTGGCTGAAATTCTGAATGCATTTTGCTTAGAACAAGGACATGACGCTGCCTCCAGGCACTTTATTTGTGTGTGTGTGTGTGTGTGTGTGTGTGTGTGTGTGTGTGTGTGTGTGTGTGTGTGTGTGTGTGTGTGGGAGCAGACAGCACAGTGAGAGGAGAGACAGAGTGGAGTTTTTCCTCACAGAGCAAGACTTCTAGAGGCTACTTTGTGGTAGTTTACTGGCCAAGCTAGACTCGAAAGAAATCGGCAGCTTTCCTTCGCTGAAATTAAAATCCGTTGAGCGCTAATACATAAATCTTTTTGCCAAACCAGTTGGTTTAAGAGTCTCGGAGGCAGCATTTGTTAATAGGATCATCTTTCAACTAGAGGGCCCTGGTTCAAGACCTCATGTCAGCGAGCATCTGCTTTACTGTCCTTCAGTAAGAAATGTAGTGCCCACCAGCGCAAGCTCCTGTTACATAACTGACAATGACACTGACCTCTGACCTTGCTGGAGGGCTGCAAACCAAACAGAATTTTATACATACATATAGTATAGACAGTAGCATCCTTGAATAATCTCAAATATTAAGGAATAATTCATATTTATAGGAAGAGTTAAATATAAGATAAAGTATATAGATGCTTTTTTTTTTCCTAGAAAGAGAGTTTCCACCAGTTAGCACCAGTCTCAGGGACCAGCTGAATAAATGATCAACATGCTATTTTTTATGTAAGAGAGAAAATAGGTCTTAGAAAGGTGTGTTGTTTGTGTGATGCTCAGTCACAGTTAGAACAAGCCCTTTGCATGTTTCGCAAAACCTATGCTATTACAGCCAGGTAGAACACATGCTAAAGCTCCTGCTCAACTCAGTCTGGCCCACAGAGCTTAATAACTCAATTAACCCTGGCCATCATTTTGCTAGTCACACTGGCTCAGGTATCAGCCACTGGCAGTGACTCCCAACACAGCCCCAGATCCAATTTGTGCCCTCTGCCCTCCAAAGATAAATAAAGGAATGAATCCGTCTTTCCTTCGTGATCTGAGTATTGACAGAACAGTGAGTGGGTGTGACTGGCTCTGAGCGGCCAGAATGCTTATCACATTAGTTTCATGCTCCTATCTCTGTGTGAAGAGAGAGAGAGAGAGAGAGAGAGACGAGGAGATGAGGAGAGAGACGACCAAGAGAGATGGAGACGATGAGCAGAGACCGAGGAGAAGACGAGAGAGACGAGACGAAGAGAGAGAAGAGAGGAGAGACGAGAGAGAGAGAGAGAGAGAGAGAGAGAGAGACTCAGAGGCGGAGAGAGGGAGGGAGAGGGTATTGGATGCAGAGCTGGGAGAGTAAATGAAGAAGTGTGCCCTGCAGATTGAGTTTAAATTGTACTGTTTAGCAGACACACTCTCAGCTGCTTCTTATTTTCTGGTGAATTAGAGAAGTGATGGGACTGATATGACACCACATCTTAGTCGGACCTTGAGGTTTTTTCCATTCTTATTAAGAGGTTTTGGTGGAACAGAAGCTTTATCATTATAATAATTTCCTTGGCAGCGTCAATGAAGTGGTCGCTCAGTTCGATCAGTCATAGTTGCTTCAAATTCACAGGAAATAACCAGTTTGATTAGGTCTAATTTTATAATACCAGCACACCTCACTCACCTGTCCTCTGTAGGTGTACTACATCTCCAAGGCTACACTGAAGGTGGCCAACAAACAGTACACCACGCTGAAGAACGACTACGAGATGACCCTCCATGCTCATTCATCCATTGTACCATGTGATGACAGTCAGGACGTCCCCACGGTGCACTGTGACTTTGTGCCCATCGCAGAGCTGGAGAACAGAGACAAGGACTCCATCATTGGTAAGAGAGGAAGTTCATCAGTGAGACTTTATTTGCACATTTCCACCATTTAATCAATAAGAGAACAAAAGAAGAGTGAGAGGGAGTAGGCAGAGCTTTTGTGCCAAGGACAGTTGGGATAAAAGTGGCAGAGGTGGCAGCTCAGCTTATTCAGCCTCACAAAGCCAGACTACATCTCAAAAGCTCAATTTATGCAATCAAGGCCCGAAAACATCGATAATCAACTGATCCACATTGGTTTGTGTCAAACCAATCAGCACTCTGTGGTGAGTGTTCAGATAATGATGGGACTCACTGCCTCTCCAAACCTTGTGATGAACTACTGAAACAAGGTGTTATAGACAGAAAATGAAGTGTGATTCATGAACTGTGTGGCTTTTCTTTCTTTTATTGTGCAACAAATTCCTTCAGATACTGACTTTGTGGGTAATTAAGGAAATATTTTACCACATTCCTGACTGGCTGCGATATAGAGTACATGTGTTTTGCAAACCAGAAGCAACAATAGCCAAGTAAGTTGTGCATTAGTCCAATCAGGTGAAGGAAAGGTTGTTATTTCTTGATATTTGTGTGACAAAGAGAACTGTCAGTTATACTTGGCATTACAAGTTGCTTGGACTGACGTCAGTGTAAAGAAAAGCTTTAAGCCTCACGCAAGAAAATTTTCATATTTTTATCCGAGACATTTCAGGAGTTTTCCAAATCAGATTCACCAAACTCTCCTGACTGTACAAACTTGTCATTAATTGCTCGTTTCAGCCTGATGAATGTCGTCTGTTAATGAGATGTTCTTTCATGAGATTTAACCATCAGCCCCTTAAATTGCAATTTAAAGCTACCTGTTCTGCACATGGGTAAGTTTCATTTAAAAAAAAAAAAAAAAAGTTACTTACACACCGCAGAGCTTGAAGTTCTGCTGTCAGAAGCAAAATCAGAGTCAGTGTAGTGGTAGAGGACCTGAAACAATAAATAGTGCAGCTGTCAATGACGTCTCCAGAGCAACGCTGTACTGTGACAGAAATAAATAGTGACTGCTCTGACATGAAGTTAGTTGCTTAAAGACGTCTTTCTAAAGCAAAGCGATCCATGCCTGATGTGAGTGGCGGTCAGGATGGCGATGTGACAGTCACGTAGCTATTAGATGAGAGAATATTACAGCCTACGGTAAGTGTTGTTACACCATTGGGTGCAACAGAGGACTATAATCGACAGCAACCTGCATAGAGACCCTGAGGCAACCGTCGGGGCGAGAGAATTTTCCAACAACTACTGAACTGTTTGTAATTTTGTATGCCAGTATAGGCCAATAAAATTAGATCAATTAATAGATGAAAACTAGCTCTGTATGACCGGTACGACAGGTAGGGACCATTTGTGAATTTCGTTTGTTCATGGTATGAGAAATGGCCACACATTCTCTTAAATCACTTGTATGTGCCACTTCAGAAGGATTCTGTTTGTACTCCTGGTTCTTGCGAGAGGTTTGTTGAGTAACCACAAAGTGAGCTGGCGCAGTAAGTCTAGGACATGTTAGCTGTTGCCAGTATTTAAACGTGTGTTATCAACCAGACCATCTCTCTAACTGCTCAGTCAACCTAGGTGATTATAAGTCCTTGATATAAATTGTAAAAAAAAGAAAACCCTGAGCTAATAGAAGGGCACGTGCCAGCCAGTTGTGAGCCAGATGTCATGGAAGAATACATTATGACAGGGTCAGAGAGAAGGTTAATTCAGTTATACAGTAAAGAGGAGAGATAAAAAAAGAGGATAAGGCTCATTCCACTGTTTTTATGAAGGTTAGTTGCGGTGCCTGCCCTCTGCACCTGACAGGAATGTCTTATCTCTGTGACAGGTAAATTGGGATGGTCCACGTGTAGATTGGGGTTGAAATTAGTGATTCAACAGTGCGCCGTTAGCAGTCTGCTCAGTGCTATTAGTGAGGTGATGCAGAGGTATGACGGTGATGTTTCTCTGGTTGTGGCAGTGAAGATTTATTTTTTAGAAACTGCTCTTGTTTTGCATGTTGAAGGGTGAGGACTTAACATTGTATGTTACAGTGTTTGTCTATTTTTTAGGTGATTTTTGTCCAAGTGTTTCAGGTTTGGTCAACTATGAACAGGGATGGGTGTCAATTAATGGTTGTCATTATTTGTATCAATTCGATACCTGAGTTTTTTGGTAGCGACACAAGACAACTTACTTTTGAGAAATACAAACTTGTTTTTCTACAAAACCCATTGTTTGGTGTAACAACACAGGCTCAGGTTGTCAAATGTTAAATGACATCTTAACTTCAACAAGATTAAGTTTAAAATTGGCACAAACTTTGATTTTATTCAGGAACCATCTGATGACAGAACAAACAAAACCGATTACAAATGTGATATCTGATTTGGTACTTGATATTTTTTTATACTTGGCGTTCAAACACATTTCAGTCTGTCAAAGGGTAAAAGCTTTTCAAAGCAAGATGAGCCTGTTTTATAGAAGAGTAATTCGGGAGTAATTAGCATTGTCAGTTGAATTTGCAAAATCTTGTTAGGATGAAAATCATTGTTTCACTGACTTCTGTGGGTTGAGATTTTCGGGTTTGTTGCATTTCTCCCCACACCCATCGGCACAGGTATGTGTGGTCTCTTGTCCAGATGTGATTTTGCATTGCACAGTAATTTAGTGCTCGACTGCATAGGATCAGCAAAACATACAGCGGCTGCTGGAAGACAGCACAAGCAGGGCTATTAATTCTTTTAAGTGTTGGACATGCCATATTAGAGAACAACTTAATGGTTGTAAAGTAAACAACATACTGCAGCCTCCTGAGTGGAAGATTAATGTGGGTTTACATTTAGAGCATTAATATAACATGATTACATTAGTGTAAGCTATGAGCAATACACGTGAGCGTAGCAGCGCACTGCAGAGTGAAGGGATGCGCTGAGCGCTCTACCTGGAGGAGCGTGTTTGCGTTGGTCGCAAAGGGGCAGCGTTACATGTCCTGTGCGTCATCTGTTGTCTCTCCATTCACTCTCTTTCCACTCCCTCTCTCTCCGCTTCTTTGTTAAATAGGGGATTATAACATGGTAATGAGAACTGTCAGCCTGTTCCTGTGGTGATAATGGAGTTCAGAGGTGGATGACATCGTCTCAATCATAATGGAATTAAGGAGAGCTGAGAGAGCGCAGACAGAGAGCAAGGGAGGAACCGGGGGTGGGGGTTTAGAAAAAGGTTAGCAGAGGTAGCAGACAGGCGGATGAAGTTCACAGAATGACTGGTTTGAAAAGTCTTTATAATAATTCTGTCCAATCATTTTATTTAATGCATAAGCACTAGTTCTGACAGCATGAGATGACTGACAGAAAATTAGCCACCGCAGTTGTGATAATTGTTAAGCCATTTAAAGGTGCCCTATGGAGGTTTTAAGGCAGGGAAGAAGATTTCTTGAAAACCTTCAAATATACAATGCACAATTTAAAGTATTCAAAGAATCGGCTTTGCAGATTATTTATGGATGAATTTAACACATTTGTCAGGTCCCAAGGATACTGACAGCGCCTTTTGAATGTAAACATTACTTTGTTTGTTCGTAGGAAAACTCCGCAGGGCACCTTTATTTATTAATCAAGTAAAAATGACAAACCTCTGCTGATCGTAGCTTCGTAAATATGGCTGCTTCTCCCTCGTTTCACATGAATGAAAGTGGGTTGTGAAAAAAATGCACTTTTAAATTATCAATGCTCATCACATGATTGCATTTGTCATTGTTTTATTTTTACACTTTATAGTCTAAACATTCGATTCATTCAGTTAAAATTGTACTCGCAGTGTATCTAACCCTGTGTCACAGTATTGAGATGCATGAATCTCTTTTACACTGCGTCTTGATTGAACGTGCGTGTGTTTGTTTTTGTTTTCAGTAACCCTGTAAAAATTGTGTATTGTACAATAAGGGCTTTATAAATTAATTAGTTTAATTAATTAGACTTGTTCTGATTTAGTTTTTGATATGAGTCATGGTAGGCCAGGGTCGTCACCCTCTCTCAGCTGTGACTGCTCCTTAGTGCAGTAATCCTGAATGAAGTGTTTAGGCCTTGAGCATGACAGGAAACATGAATGAGGAATGAGTGTTTTTGTTGTGATTTGGAAAGTGGGCCTGGCTTTTAGCCAGCCTTTTATGACATTTATGTCAGTCTGCTGTGACTTGGATATATCAGAGGGGAGTGTCAACTCTCTGCTGGGTTGGATCTTTGCTGCTTATGAAGTGATAACACTTCACAGTATGCAGAGAACATCTAGGGGGCATTTTTACACTTGCTACCACATTGAGACTTTTCAAAAGACTCTGTTAACATAACACACTATTGCTTCGTGTTTCTAATGTGTGTCTAAGCATATTTGCCTACCTGTATTCATGAGCTGTCTATAGATGGAGATTAATTGATTCTCTCTGCCCGTAGATGTCATTGGAGTGTGTAAGAGTGTGGAGGATGTATCCCGTATCACCACTAAGACCAGCAGAGAAGTCTCCAAGAGGGCCCTCAACCTAATAGACACAACTGGCAAAGTGGTGACAGTCACACTGTGGGGAGAGGAGGTAATAACTATAATCCTTCTCCCTCTCTCCCGCTCCCCCTGTCTCTCTCTCTCTCTCTCTCTCTCTCTCTCTCTCTCTCTCTCCTTGCTCTCCGTCTTTATCCAGGGATGGATTTACGGTTTAACATAAAAACATGTTGAGCAGACTGTAATTAATGGTGTGTTTATGAAGGTGTCCATGCGTGTGTGTGTGTGTGTGTGTGTGCATGTATCCGTGTCAGTGCACATAACACAACGGTGTGTGAGCTCTTGCGTACAGAGCAGTTTGATTGAGTTCTCGGGGCTGTAAAATTTGGATCGGTCAAATCATTCCGGTGACCTTCAGGAGTGTTTTGGACCAGAGTCCCTGATTTGAGACGGAAGGCTAAATAACTCTCGAATGTGCATGAAATGGCACTATTCTTCTCTAAGCTCATTCAATCTGCAAGAGCTAATCCTCCTCTTTGCCAAAATCCAAAAATGACTTTCAAATTAACTTGTAGGTTGTCCAATTATTAAAGCAAACTATACCACATATTACTTTCTGGTCGTTCCAAGCTGCAGACACACACTGAACATTTAAGGGACAATTATTGATGTCTGTTGTTTTCTATCTTTCTGTCCTCAATTATTGTCTTTCACAAACTTTTTTCTGTCTCCAGGCAGAGAAGTTTGACGGCTCAGGGCAGCCTGTGGTCGCCATCAAAGGAGCTCGCTTGTCTGATTTTGGGGGCAGATCTCTCTCTGCTTTGTTCAGCTCAACAGTCATGGTCAACCCAGACATACCGGAGGCCTTTAGATTGAGGGCCTGGTGAGTCACACTGATGTGCAGTGCTCACACACACATTCAAAACACATATAGAATTGTCCATACAATGTTGTCATGCTGGCATGTGCAGTGTACAGTGAAACTTGACACAAGGACCACATAAGACACAGTATATATGTATAATCTTATATATGTAAAATGACCTATAATAAATACTAAACACAGGGCATGCTCACACATACACTCAGACACAGATGAATAAACTTGAATGCCTGGATAATCACGTGTCAAGAGACGGGTGGCATGTGCCTCCTCAGTCCCAGTGGGACTCCAGACAGGATGTAGACAGGATTGGATGGAGGGAATAACAGAAAAGCAGAACATGGATATTTCTGGATTCTCACTCTGAACTGCTACTGTACGTGTGCAGAGAGATGGGCACACGGCGAGCCGCATCAAACTGGATTCCAGTTCCTGTGGAGGGATTTTGAGTTATGACTCATTCACTCATTAAGGCTGTTCCCCAGTCTGGCCACGCTGAAATAAACGTTTTTTTTTTTCCTCTTTTATTCTGTGTATGTACATGATGCTGCGGTGTGCATATGATTGCCTGTGTGTTACACCGAAAGCTATTCTTAGGCATAAAATTGCGTCAAACAGCATGCTCACAGCCTCACAGCGTGAAGACAGTAAATAAAGGGGCATGTTTGTTGGTACCTGTGGGCATTGTTCTATTCACTTTTTCAGTCGTTAATGTCTGGTTTATAAATTTGGCTAATTGCTCTAAGAACAATAACGTTGGCCATTTTTTTGTGTGTGTGCCTTTTATTAGTTACAGCAGTTACACGTGAGTGTGAGTGTTTGTGTGTGTGAGTGAGAGAGAGAGAGGAGGGGAATGCTCCATTTCTCCAGCTTTAATCTTGCTCTTATTAGTCTCTGGTCAATACACCATCTCATCCTGACATTCAAAGGGCTAAATAACTAAAAGGCAGGGACCCTCCTTCCTTTCATTCCTTCTTCCATTCTTCTCTAATCCCTGGCTTTTCCCTGATCTCTGCTGCTGTTTGGTCTTCTCCCCAGTTTACATGCTGACAGCGGTGAACGAATGACAATGAATGTTATTCAAGGAGCAGACAGAGTGTTTTTCTACTCCTTTTTAACATTTAGGTCTGTGCTTTAAAAAGACAAAGAGTGTCTGTCTGACTCGAGTTCCTGTGGCGATGTGGTGCTTTGTGGGATTGTTTTGACTAGGCTGGCTTGCATAATTGAAGAAAACTGATGAATTTGGATGATGCCTTGATTAGATTGTTCTGCTCGGCTAGAATACAGAGCAGGAGTCACACTGATGCATTAAGATTTTAAAGGGAATATTAAAAAGGTAGATAAATGAATAGATGGAGTGGGTAGACAAGGACAGTTTGTTCCTCTTTTTTTTAATCAGTGAAGAAACTGTGTATATGGCCAGAAACATATGTAAATATAAAAGGCTGATTGATGTGTGAAGGCATTGGTCCATGATAGACAGCCGAATGTCCGATAAAAGAGATGACAGGATACAGATGCAGTTCAATCAGGGATTATGGGCGAAATTCAGTCAGAGCTGAAGATGGTTTCTTTAGATTGTAGCAAATATAATGTAGTGTACGTTCATACATGTAAACAAACACACCTGGTTTCACAATCTCTTTTTCATTAAAAAGAAATAGCTTCAATCCTGGACATGTTCACATAGGTGTAGTATTAATGGTATACTGTAATATAATCAGCTCAGTATTCATGGATCATTAAACGTGCTCTTGGGTCTCACATGCTGTTTATGTTTCTCATTTTAACCAACAAGCCCTCCTTCTTTTTTCTTTCTTGTCTCCCAACACTTCAAATAACCTATGTCACATTTCACTTAAAAGAGTGTGTGTTTATTTTTCATGTACAAGCGTGTCTGAGCATACCTTTATTTGTACGTGTGCTCTGTGTCTTAATGTCCAGGTATGACCGGACAGGCTATGCGCTCCATAGCCAGTCCCTGACAGAGACGAGGTCCGTGGGCAGCGGAGCAAAGATGAACTGGAAAACACTGAGCGACGTGAAGAATGAACACATGGGACAAGGAGAGAAGGTGCAGTGCTCACATGCTCACATGCATACATACAGCAGGGAATTCATCTAAAAGAAAAGGCTCATTTTTACATTTATATGTGAAGCTTTAAAAGTTGGTTCACCCAAAAATAACCATAAATATCAGAGACAGAAATCTCAAAAAATGAGGGCAGATGAAACCATTACTGTCATGGATTGACACAATTAGAGGTAAGTGAGGAAATCTGGGTTTTTCTTGTAATATGGATGAACTGACCCTTTAAAGAAAAATGTACCATAAAATAGATTTTGGTGGTGTCTTTTTAATTATCCTCCCAGTTAATTAGTTAGCCATTCTACAAATTGTCAGAAAAAAATGTCTATAATAATTTCCCCAAGCCCAAAGTGTCACCTTCAGATGTCTTGTTTTGCCCCACTAGCTGTCTAAACCCCAAAGATTTTCATGTTACTGTGATATTAAACAGAGAAAAGCAGCAAATCCGCACAACTGGGAACCTGGAACAGGGGGATGTTTGGAATTTGAAAGTTGTTGCAGTTTAATTTCATGTTAATTGACTAATAGATTTAGCTTTGCAATGAAAGCTAAATCTGTCCATAAGTCAGACTTCATTTTTATTCATGGAACTCATACTTTATTAAAACACTATGAGCAGACTATTACTTAGTGGAAGACCCAAGTACATGGTAGAAATTCATAGTTCATGTTTTCATTTCTCTGAATGTGTTGCATATATGATATCTCTGTTTCTCTGGGTTTGGCTGTAGATTCATTTAGGCCCCTGAGTGATTCAGTTCAGTCCACAATAAAGGACCAGAATGGAAGAACCGTTATGAGAACCACAAGTAACTGTGGCACTAATCATTTTACTTGTTTTTATTGGGCTGTGTAACTTCAGGTTTGATTTCTGAGCTTTATATTTATTCATCCTCTTGCATTTGAGTCACAGGAGAAAGGGGATATTCAGTAGATGAAATAAATGGAAGCCACCAGGTGTGTAACAGCAAAAAAACTAATCTTGTTATTTGTGTTGCAGTTTTGGTTAGATCTCTGAGCTGGTTCTTTATGAAAACTTTGGCTGGGAGCAGATTGATGTGCGAGTCAGTAAAGTCCTCTCACTCAGGCAGCTGGCTACTGTTTGAAGAGGAATGAACCCCTACAGATGACGTAACATCAGCATAGCTACAGTACAACCGAGTTAGAGAGCAGAAAATCTTCCCAGTGTTGTTCGACGAGCGTGGTAAACACCAGGTTTGGTGTCGGTCCCCTCCGAATCAAAGGGTTAGAGCTTCAATGTTTTTGCACCAAAGTTTCACAGTCACACCAGGACAAATCCATCATGTTGGCAGTCTTTGACGTTAGGAGTCTCTTATGCCCTATCGCTGTGGCTCATGTTTTATCTACCTACACATACAGTGAAAACCGCAGCTGGATTCAGCTCAATCACTTGTGGGGCTTGTCAGAATGCATTTAGGAAAATTTCGGAAATCACAAAGTGGAAAATTGAGATCAGGTATGCTCCTGCTACTAAACATTACAGGGATTTAAAAGGTTAAATGTTGGGGTTAGGTTTTTTTTTTTTAATTATCTAGACTGAAGGCCTCTTATTTAAACTATGAAAGATCATTTCCTGCGAACAGACATGGATTTAGTGATTTATACAACGGACTGCTTCACAGTCATTTGAATCTAAGCATTTAGACAAACACAAACCCACAGTCAGTCTTCCATTCATTGTAAATAGAGCAGCTGTAGGCCGCAGCTTGCTTTGACTTCATGGATTAGAGTCATGGTTCTCTTGTTTTAGCTGTGGGAGGGAAATAGTGATGTTCTCATATTAGCAGTATTGAATGAACTGCTGTGTGCCATTTGGAGGAGCATGTGAGAAATTCTCAAATTGAACCGTGTGCCATTTCAAGAAGTGGCATTGCACACAATTATCATGCTTTCAGCTAAAAGTAGAGTGCGTGTAAGTGGTATGTGCCTCTCATAAACTTTCTATCTAATTAGGTTTATCTTCGACTAGTCTCTCTCATTCCTCACGTTTAATTAGAAGCCACTTACGAGCAGCTCCAACATCAGTGTCGTTTCTAATAAAAATTTCTAATTATGTATTGGAGGTGGAGGAAGCCTATAGGGCATAACATTACCAGAAGGGAAGTAGCGCGAACTGAGAACATGGGAGGGTGAGAAAGGGTAGAAAAGCCAGGCAGAGCCACTTAAACTTCTTGTCACTTACAAAGCCGTGTTGAAGGAAGGAAGGAAACAAGGCCACAGGAGGAAAAAGGATTTTTTTTTTTTTTTTTTAAACGGAGGGGAGAGTGTGGTGACAAAGAGAGACAAGTGACAAAGGATACAGATGGCAGATGTGGGGAAAGGAGTTGAAAGGTGAGAATCTGTAAATAATTCAAGCTCATATTTTTTCTCTTCTTTTTTCTGTTATTTTCCCTTTCTCTTATTCTCTTTGTCTTCTCCTCCTCTCTCTCTCTGCCTCGTGTGCCCCCAAACGTTTCTGTAATTGAACACCTTTAAGGAGGTTGCCTATAATAATGAAATCCAAATCATTAGCTCATAGTTTGAAGGAGTCTAATTTGACATTCTACCTGTTTGTCTCCATGTATGTGTGAGACTCGATGTGTGTGTGTGTGTGGTCGTGTGGACGCAAGTGTACAAGCCATTTCTAATTAATGTAGCTGTGTGTCTGTCTGTACGTGTTGGGGTTTTGGGACAAGCATTAAAGTTGGCATGTGCAGACACGTCAATTATGTGAAGTAGATTTTCACTTGGTTGCCCTTCCACATACAAATTTTAATTGCATTTAGGTGCCAGAAGGTGACACAGGGATTTGCTGTGATAAGAATGAAGAATTTCTGAATGTTTTTGTGTGTGTGTGTGCGTGTGTGTGTGGTGTGTGTGTGTGTGTGTGTGTGTGTGTGTGTGTGTGTGTGTGTGTGTGTGTGTGTGTGTGTGTGTTTAAATGTTTAGGTAAGTGTGCGCACATATTTTTGTGTGCAGTGTGTCTGTGAGCGTTTGTGTGTGTCTGTTTTTGTGTGCAGTGTTAGTCATGCTGCTCTTCTAGGTTCTCCACAGTGTGCTTAAGGTTAAGACTTTGCCCCAAGGCTTCTGTGTACACACACACTGGAATACAGAGGGAGAGTAAAAAAAAAAGAAAACAGGAGAAGGGGAGACATGATGGCAAATGCGGGGGGGATTTATTTAGAGTGGGCTTGTTGCGATGGAAGTGCTATGGTCCACATCCTGCTGACCTCCCTGCTCACATTCTCAGTAGCATCTGCCAACATCATGAGCCCTCATCACACCCCCAAAGAAAGCATCCTGTTCTTTTCTTCCTGCCATGTCCACCCTCCTACCACCTTCCCCACCCATCGCCTTCCCACCTCTCCAGCCTTCCAGCGCTCTAATCTGCCCAAGTCTGCGAAATGTGATGAGGCAGGCGCGCGGGCGGAAACACGGGAGCGGAGTTTTGAGGAGGAGAGGGCTGTTTGCTTACGGGAGAAATCCTCCTAATTAATAAACCTTCTTAGTAAGTGTTTTGGAGGGGTTCTTGCTGTGTGGCGTGGGTACTGGGTAGATGGATGGGTGGACAGATTATGAGGCATGTGAGTCAGTGTTAGCTAGCGGGAGGAAAGTGTCAGAGAGAGCTCTAAGTCTGACTGACAGTATCTGTAGAGGTCGTGAGGACATAGGACAGCGTCAACCATCTCATGAGGGATGCAGAGAACACAATGGCCTTTTCACATTCAGTGCTCTTACCAAACACTTTACAGAAAGTGTGGGTTGTATAACGAAGGAACAGCAATGCTCCTTCAGTGTGTGTGTGTGTGTGTGTGTGTGTGTGTGTGTGAATTTGGCCAGTATCCTAAAGAGAGTCTTTGATAGACTCATTTAGGCCAACATTAGTAATGAGTCTGGCCCAGCTCTAGCTTGTAGTTGTTGTTTAGAATGCATTTTAAAGCATTTCATTTTAATTTCTGGCTGTAATTCCAACATCTTGTTTAAGGCCTGCTCTCCTGGTAGACGAAATACCCTCTGGTGAAGCTGGGAAAAAGGATTTTTCTGTGGTTTCCTACATGCGCGTGTATATCGTATTTATCGGTTTGTTGCTTGCGTACGCTTCTACCCGTGTGTGTCTGTTCGCAAGCAGGCGTGTACATGTATGTGCCTCTTCCCGATGAGACACAGTTCATCTGCCGTGCGCATTCTTTATATTTACATTTATGGAAATCAAATGCTGTGCTTCTCCACAGGATGAGAGAATAGCCTTTTTCCCCCCAGAGTATGCATTCCTTTCCTTTTTAGCTGTTGATTTTACCAGTGTGAGTTCTGCCGCCTAAGGTGCTAATATCTGTTTAAATTACCGCAACACATCGCTGCATTTTAATTTGATTCTGTTTGACTGTGTACACTTTAATTTAAATTCATAACTGAGAGAAGTTTAGCTCATTGTATCTGTATTGCAAATGTGTAAGTTTGGCTCTTTGCATATAACCTTGTATGTTAGCCATGTGTATGCAAGTGTGCTGGTGTGTATGTGTACATTAGCACAATTTATGTATTCGAGAGGGAGAGAGAGATTCGTCTCATCTTGCATCTATTATGCATAGAATTCTCAAACTCCCTCTGCTCTCTTTTTAAACTGTTCCAAGATTGTTTGGAAGTCAAATAGAGATGTGTAAACAGCGTGCATCTACCAGCTGGACTGACTCGTTGGCAACGGTTTTACTTATCATGCCAAGTTTGATCCAAGTTTATTTTTATTTTATTTAATGTTTCTCTTTTTCACCCTAAGCAGCTTATTAATTTTCCTGAAACTGTTGAAGGGTGTCCTGCCTCCACTAGAAGGAGCACTTTGGCTCTTCTCCTTCTCGTACATGTTTTTTTTCTCACTTCAGTTTGATGGAACTTATTTTCATGACGTGCTGTTTGCTGATAAGTTATGATTTAAAAATACCAAAAATCATAATATAAGGTAATGCCAAAATGATACCCATAGCATCTTCACCCAACATTCATCCAAAGGTTTGATGAATATTTCTTTCTAATGTTGCTGTGTTTAACTTAAGACTTGTTTAATGGGAATGATATCGCAGCATTGTCGTGAACCATCCCTATACACTTCCTGTACCGATGGCAGCATTATCTTGTTGTTGTTATCTTGAAGCGTCATGGTAGTAGTCATTAATTGCTGAGCGTGGCCTGTACACTTGTTACCATGCATGCCATAGAATCGCTTCATGTGGCTGACCGTTGTGGCTGGAACTGGGACTCGTCAGACTCAGACCATGTTTTCTAAGCTGTCGACACTCCTTCGTGATGTTTTTAGCCTACTTGAAATAGGTTTCAGTTTATGGTGGGCAGGAGAGCAGTTGTACTCTGACAGGAAAGAGTTTGAGTCATTGTGTCCTCTGAGATTGGTCGTCGTACACTACAACTGTGTTGTGATTTTGACTCTTGTACTGCGCACTGATTACTCATTTTGTTCTTATGGCCTGAGCCACCTGGTGTCTTGTTCATCTACCAAGATGCATCCTCCTACATAACAAACACTTTGAAGAGGTGTCTTTTTCCCATTTATTCATTGTACACCTTTTAAGATTGCTGCTTTTGAAAAGTGTGGCGACAGTCTTTGCAATGCTCGGACTTCCTCTCCTGGCACACAAAAACGTGCCTTTTTATAGTCTGTAAAATCACACCTGTTTATCTCTTAATAATGCAGTAACATACAGAGAGGGTCCACTTCTTCAGCAGGGGAAGAATCTCTTTTTTTAACATTCAAACTCCAAATGAGACAAAGACGGGACCTCGACCAGGAACCACTGAATCTTTATTTATTTTGAAGATGCAGAAGTTTTAAAACTGTGGATATACTCAGTGACAGATTGCCTTAATGTCAACAGTAAAGGAGCTCTGTCTTCATTAATATTATAATTTACTAATAAGGATTTTTAAGCGAAGAAGTCCATAATTATCTGTTGCGAGTGCATATGTGCAATAGTCAGCTTATACAGCCTTGTATGAGAAGCTGTTTTATGTCTACACAGTGATTGTAAGCTTGAATTCTTGTGCAATTTATTTTTGTCACATTGAAAATGTAACTGAAAACATCTTGGTAAAACAGTTTCACTCAAGACTCCAAAAGAAAAGAATGAGACATCCTGAAATTTTAATGAAACAAGGCAATCAAGCAGTCGCAAGGACAGCTCCAGTTATCTTCATGTTTTTAACATCTGCCAGCAACTACAGCACCAACACATTCAAATGAGAGAGCTACCAGTTAAACAGGGAAACTGGATGATCACCAAGTATCAAATAAAATATACAAAATGCAATACAAACATTTTCTGCAATTAAATGATTTGGAAGACTTTACCAGTATGTAACTTGATTTGCAGGTTAGATTTCTCCACAGCACAATATTATGTAAAGGGGCAGCACCTGCAAATTAACTGCAGCCTCTTAGACGTTCAAATTGCAGCAGTTTGATGTGATTTGGTGGTTTTTATTGATCGTGCCGCTCTACCCTCCATAATTAGATTTCTTCCTGTCCTATTTTTTGTTCTCTCTATTCAGGCAGACTATTTCAGCTGCGTGGCGACGGTGCTGTACATTCGTAAGGAGAATTGTCTGTACCAGGCCTGTCCATCTGCAGACTGCAACAAGAAGGTCATAGACCAACAGAACGGACTGTACCGCTGCGAAAAGTGTAACCGAGAGTTCCCCAACTTTAAATATAGACTCCTACTTTCTGTAAGTGCAAAGTGCACACAGTGCACATCATTAATGTCTGTTTGACACACATACAGTGATGCTGACTTTGAGAAATCTTGTATCTTCTGTGATCTCACATGCACACACTCAAACATACACACATAAATAATCTCTCGCCTCTTCATCATCTGTCTGTCTGACTCTCAGGCCAACTTAGCAGACTTCGGGGATAACCAGTGGGTGACATGCTTCCAGGAGACAGCTGAGGTCCTGTTGGGTCACAGTGCAGAAACACTGGGGGAGCTAAGAGACACAGTGAGACATGCATACACACACACACACACACACACACACACACACACACACACCATCACTCCTACACATAGCTCTGCTAAAGCTAGTTTGTTCACATAGGACAACAAAATTGCTTTTACAGTTTTTCCATGAGATCTAACTTTAACAGATTACTTCCTGAAAACCACCAGCCCTGACTTTTTATTTGTGTGTGTGTGTGTGTGTGTGTGTGTGTGTGTGTGTGTGTGCGCGCGCGCGCTTGCGTGCTTGCGTGCACGTGTTTCTTCCCAAGGACGAGACTGCATTTGATGAAGTCTTCCAGAGAACTAACTTCACAGAGCACATCTTTAAAAACAGAGTCAAGCTGGAGACGTACAATGTAAGTAGCTATAAACCACGGTGCAGTAGGATTTGATACAGTACAGTGGTGTTCATTATTGTCCTACAAACTGCAAGAAGCTGCAAGAATCTTTCCTGTGATCTGTGCCTGTCCACCCTGATTGACCAGTTTATATCTGTCACACAAAGCTACAACTACACCAACGAGTACTGTTGTAAAAACTGTAAATGGTCTTATTTAGGGTCAATTTCATAATCAAACGAAACAGTAGGAACCAGCTGAAGTATATAGCTCTAAGCTCTGTGTGTGTATGTGTATGTGTGTGTGTGTTAAAGCAATTTATTTCATATGACAGTGACTATTTTTCAGTTATGGAAATAGTAACTGGAAATTGCAGCATTTAATATTTATCAACCACACAGGATTCTGTTTATGCCAGATCCAAGTAGCACTTTCTCAGTCAGGTTTTCTGGTGACAAAGTGTGATGTGTTTACAGATCAAATGTTTTGATTGGTATCAAGTATTTACTGATGAGCAGTATCCTTTAGGATGAACTAGTTGCAGGCAGAGGTGAAACTTCACAATGAATACTACTCTGAAAAAGTGAGAATTCACTGTTTCATGTTAAGTATCCCCTGGTGTTAAAGTGTGTTACGTTGCGGTGTGGTGTTAATTAGCTGCATCAATGAATTTGTATCAACCGGACTCATCGTCGGTGATTATTTTCCGCTGAACTTCGACCCCAAGCATGTAAAGCCACAAAACAAGATGCATAAAATGCAATATATTCACAACACCCTGTCAGTCACACAACATGAATCCAAAATCATTTCAATTAGTAGCACAGTGACGAGGGAGCTGTTATGTAGCCAGTGCACTTTGGATAACAGAAAACAAATACAGCTGTGGATTCATTTCTCTTAATTAGGCACTAATTAGCATTTAGCTATTGTCAGTCTAAGCCTAATTAACTTAATTATTCAGAGACTAATTTGCTACAGAGGGCACATACCAAGAGGCTGAGGGGAATGATTGAGATGTAGGATGAGCTCTGAATGGTCTGTGTCCTGGCCGCGGGAAAACCTGCAAGGAATGTTACAGAGTTCATGAGACATTTCGTCATTGTGCGGAGGATAATGTTGAACCTTTTCAATGAGGAGTTCATATTTTTCTGTAGCTGCAGTCTAATCTTACATATGGTGTATATGTATATGTATATGTATATGTATATGTATTGCAATGAAGAGTAATATTCACATCTCAAGTAAAATGAGTTTGACTGTTTACAGCCAACGTCAGTCCAGTGTCAGTCTTTCCAGCTAATGGGGAAAAAGCCTGAAGCCCCACTGACAGATGCTGGAGGCTGCATTTTTAAAAACAGCCCACAACACAGAGGTGTTGGGCAGAACAAACAACATACTGATGATTTCTCTTTCATTATAGGCTTAGCAGTAGTGGAGCTCAATATGCAGTTTGTCCACAGGGGCTGCATTACAGGAAGAGTCATGGTGCCATTGAAAACAAATACTTGGGAGCACAAATGTTCTCGCTAAATCATCCTCTGAGGACCATGAGTATCCACAGCAAATTTCATGGCAATCTGAACATAAAGTGTGAGAGAGACAGACTGACAGTCATCACAGTCCGGAGGCCCCCCCTGGAAAAAAGTGGAAATGAAAAAAGTAAACATGTCAACAGTGTTACAGCGGCTGTTTCAAGTGATCTACTGTGCAGAACAACAGACTGACTGATCACTTTGTTCCCTGCCTCTGCTTGTACCAAATCAGTTTAATGTGAAGGAATTGCATAACAAGACACACTAAGCTCTTGTGCAGGGTTTTTCCTGGCTCAAAATGAGGCGGAGGTGGTACCATCCTGACTATGTGCACACACGTGTATGTGAACAAAGCCTTCACCTGGTTCAAGCCAACACTTTTTAGGAGTTTAAGTGAATGCTGAGCAACCAGACATTTTTTCTAGCTGATATTTGGCTGAATAAGAAAATCTTGTTTATTGTATTTTGTTTGCTTTTGTCAATCTTCCTAAATTCTGGCTATTTTACAGCAAGGAAAGAAAAACACTGTTCACAACAAAGGATTATTTTTTCAACAGTTTTTTTTTGTGTTGTTGTCTAATAATATCTGAAATACACAAACTAATCATTCCATGTCTCAGGAGGTAATTTAATCAGGGAAAGTGAATAAAAAGTGATGTTGAAATCATGTAAACGTCGGCTTTGCATTAAACACTCCTAATGAAGTGTATTGAAGTGCATTTAGCGATGTATGTTACGCCCGCCCACATTCAGCTAATACGTTAAAAATACAGTTGTATGCAAACGTTTGGGCACCCCTGGGTAAACATATTCTATACATATTCTGTTGATTTTTGAAGTGCAAAGAGGTAAATGCAACAAAAAGGCATTAAAATTAGCATATTAATGTTACTTTTCATTTCAGGAGAGAATTAAACCGCGTGGCACGTGCAACAATTTGGGCACCTTGTCCTTATAAAACCCTCAGTTTCATTAACTTATTAGGCCTTAATTGACTTGTGAGGCAGGTCAAGAATCAGCTGATGACATTTCCATAACTGATAAAGACTCTTCAAACCTTGTGGTGACACTCAACAACCATTGGCTCCTGTAAGCAGCTGACTGAGGATCTGAGAAAGAAGTTAATTGATGTCTACAAACCAGGAGAGGCTCTAAAAAGTTATCGAAGCACTTTTAGCTTGAAATTTCCACTGACTGAAATGTCAGAGGTGCCCAAACTTTTGTGTACAATTATATTATTGTTGAGTCATTAATTTAACTGTGATGAATATAAATCATGAAACATTCAGCTGGAAAAACTCACCCGTTAATCACACATCAGAGGTTATACTGTACCTTAGTAAGGGAGGGCAGAAGTGCTAAACAGGTGTTGTTGATATTTTCTGAGGATGTCAAAACCACACAAAACACAATTAACACATAAGTAACAAAATCATGAGTGACAGTTTTCTGTGCTTTCTAATTAATTTAAAATTGTAGGAAATGGCAAGAATTGAAACCCCAACAGGAACAATATAAAACTTTTTATTACAGTATTCCACAAAGCAGAGATAATAAGCTCTGAGCAGATACACTACTACTCAAGGCTGTATTCATTTTCAGTGGTTGTTAGTCAAAGTTTACTGTTTTTATTTCAAAGTTTATGATTCAAAAAGATGAGCACAGAACAGAGAGAGTCTGTGATTCACTTGAGATTAACTGTGCGTCTTTCTACCGCAGCCGCAGTTCTTTCCCACAGACGTGTGAGTGTGACACAAGGCAAAAACATCTGACATCTAACACCAGTGTTTTCATAAAAATAGAACAATGTAATGAAATGTCAGAGCTTAACAAGACTAATGAAGTTACAAGATTTCTACATCTCTCATAACAGGGACACAGAGACACAACCGAGCTTAGGATCATTTCAAAGTTTCTGTTTGAACTTCTTTTGCATATAAACTCAGGTTTGTATTATTTTAGAGAAGAGCAGAGATGATAAATCACCATTTTTTTCTGCCATCAACTGTAAATATTAAACCACATAAGTCTGTAGCTGAATGTTGGTGATTCCAGCGGTGCAGCAGTCTTTGGTTCATCTCTTGGTTTTCAGGCTTGATTTAGCATTTTTAAAAACATTGACTTCTGTGTTTTGAAGTGTTGGACTACAGTTTATGGCAGATTTGTTAAAAGAGAATAATCAACATTTTCATATAAATGTCTGTTAGGGTTATATTGTAATTCAAACAAAACATTATTAATGACCAGAAGGAAAATGCATGTTACACAATACAGGAACCAGTTTAAAGAGGTCAGAAAACTGATAAAGAACCATTTAAAACAAATAAATACAGCAAAATAAGATCAACATTCATTACAGTACTCAGGACGTATACATGATTAATCCATTGTCCAAGTGTGTAAATGTCCAGTTCTGTTTTAATGAGGGGAAGTAAGGATTCTTTTTTTTTTTTTTTTTTAAATGCCATGAATAGTATAATAGTATAATAAAATTTATCAGTTCTCATACAAAGTACAGTAAACAGCAAAAGATGGAAAATTACACATGTTGATTTATGAAGTGACAACAAGTAAATACAACTCCAGTTTTCTGCAGGGTTTGTCTTTTATTTTCAGCTGTATACGTAGGATATACTGTTTATGTCTCTGTAATTGGAAGGCAAAAGTGATTATATTTGTTCCAAACAGCTTCGCTCGAAGGCGTCATAGAGAGGGGCGAGATGTGATAATTGTTTAAATACGTGGATGATGGTGCACATTTTCAGACTGTCTCTGCTGGAAGATATTCATGGTTTTGCACTCAGTTTTTACACATGAAAACTGGCATAAATGGTTGTGTAAAGCATGAAAATAGCAAACTTCTCTCACCTCCGCACACTCGGCCAACCTCTGCGTGCAGTGGACTTGATTGTCATGTTGTTGATTTCAGAAAGTTACAGAAAGAAAAGAGGCAGAAAAACGTCACATTTCGTTACAGTGGTGGCCCGCAGAGCCGGGAGAGTGTGCAGTGAATCAGATGCTTGTGCAGTCGAGGCCATTTCACTGCGCTACAGGTAGAGTCGCTGGAGCTCAGATCATAGTGAAGATCAGATTTGGCCTGCAGGATTGGATTTACTGAGCACAGATATTCACACAAACATATAATTTGCATTTGTTTAAAAGCCAATGCAAGATATTTGATGCATATACAATTTGGGAAAGTGCATCTAATTTCCAACCATTACCTAGATGCAGAATATTGAATCCGTGTCTTTGTGAGCCTCTGTATTGGCCTCAGGCTGTATGGTTGTTTGTGATACACTACTGTATTAGTAATATATATCCAGGTATAAACAGACCTGTTGTTTGCCTCAGCAGTCTCAAATGTGTATATAACTGTTTTTGTGCGTTTGTGAGTCTTAAGTGCATCTGTCTGCCTGAGGTGAATGAATTGATTTAGTCTCAATGAATACATTAGCAGAGGGGACGGGTTTTTCCTGCCTCATGTGAACAGATAGGCCATTGAGAGCCACACAGACACTTAATACACTCACTTTATATCATCAACAAAGCAGACTCTTATCAGGCTTGGTCAACGCCACATTGAGGTCATTTCACTGTCTCTCAGCATGAGAAAAGGGTCTGAGAAAGATCACCAAAGTCAGTAGGATTCATCCTTTGGGGACTGTTCCCGTCAGTTATATGTAACATTTCATGGCAATCCATCTAGTAGCTGTTGGAGTTGTTTCAGTCAGGACCGAAGCAGTGGACAGACAGACAGATATTGCCATCCATAAAGCCGTGCCACTAGTGTGACTAGAAGTTCAAATTGTGTTTGTGAATTTGATATAATTCTCATTCATATGTAACCTGTCGCTGTGAAGTATTATTTACAGCTTTGTTATCCAAATTAATCTGCAGGGATCCTTTGTGTTATGTAATTTTATTTTTGCAGTGCAATACAGTATCTCATTAATTCTCTGTGGGGTTGTGGCGTCAGTAAGAGGTGTGTGTGTGTGTGTGTGTGTGTGTGTGTGTGTGTGTGTGTGTGTGTGTGTGTGTGTGTGTGTGTGTGTGTGTGTGTATTCTGTCAGTGTGCCAACATGTACAAGTTGTGTAGTTGTGGTGTTTAATTCTTCCGGGAAGAACTCCACCTCGCCCTACCATCTGAAACTGAGTTAGAGAATAGGGGTGAATGTTGGGCCACTGAGTAATTGTTTTCTCCTGATGTGATGTGGTGTGGAATATTAGTCTGAGCACATTAAATTAACAAACCTTCTCTCAAGCAGTAGTCTGTCCTTTGGAAAACCATTAGTTTTAACCAAGTTGTCACCTTTTGTCAAGTGGAACCTTTGTCTTGACAGCCACCCAGATTGTTTAATTTGCCTGCTATCCTCAGGTAGATGCAAATTGAAAATACAAGTAGAGGTGTTGAATCACATATAAGATAATGGGAAAGTGTTAAATATTTGGTGCTCGTTTTGCTGGCTGATTTGCTAATTGATTAATGAATTGTCTGGGTATTAATGCCACTTAACGTGAGTGTGATTATAATGGAAATTAGTTTTTGGCTTTATGTCTTAAAGGATCTATTTGTAAGTTTTGCTATTGCTACATACTCAGCGTTAGCGTTAACAGCTGTTTACTTAACAGTCTTGCCAAGAGCTTCAGCCATTGTTGCATTTACAAGACAAGAGGTTATAATACGTTCTCTTAAGTAGCAACTTCTAAAGGGCAGACTGGAGGCTACAGTGACGCGGTATTGGAAAGTAAGCAAGGCGGGCCGGGGCTAGCAGGTTAGCTATCCAATCAGGTTGGGTAGTCCTCTTGTATGTTGACTTACTGCAGCTTTGATCATGTGATGTGTCATAATACCTACACACTTTGACTCAAAGATGAACTGATTAGATTTTGGTGGTCAAAGGTCAAAGTCATTGTAATCTTGAATACATCCCATTCTTGTGAACGTGATATCTAAGGAACGCCAAATGGTCACTTGGGCTCAATGACTTCACATTGAAATCTACGAGATTACACAGATGTGGGCTTTGGGAGATGCATATATGTTGTTGTGTTATAGTGCATTTAGAGTGTTATTGCCAATCCTGTTACATCTGTGTGAGCTGGCTTTCCTATCCCTGTTATAAATGAAAAACAAGACAAGGAATTGCCTGTGTGTGGAGTCAGAGCTATAAGTTTCTTTAGGTTGAAAGACTTTGGGACCACGAATCTATAGAAAGTCATGTCAGCTGGCATGATAGATAGATTGGGACGTGGAGTTTGGTCACAATTTAAACCTATTTACTTATCAAACCATCTGTTGGTTTAAATTATTTTACTACGTATATATAATTATTATTTGCACTTTTGAATGATGCTGATCATAGATGTTGGAAATTCTTAATCAGATGTTGCTGCACTTAAAATCAAGACTGTTTGTCTTCTCTCCTCAGGATGAAAGTCGAGTGAAGGTAACGGTAATGGAAGTTCAACCAATCGACCACAGGGAATACAGCAGGAGACTCCTCAGTAACATCCGAAAATTGGCCAGCTGAACTTGGTCCCAGTCATCCAAATGGCTGCCTGGTAATTAAACATGTCTTTGACTGGTCTCTGACCAGTCTGACTTTTTCCACCAGCAAGATAACAGCGTATCTGACAGAGGCGGCAGAGGGGCAGCCAGTGATTCATCTGATTTAAATGGCAGCCAGACAAAGGACTGATATTTAGTTGTTCACTTCCTTCATTTCGGTTCAACAGAACAGTTGTGAAACACTGAAAAATGGTTGGAAATGACTTTTACCTTTAATTTAATGGCATTTTAAGAAAGAAGTTTGTCTGTTATAGATTAATGTATTTTATACCTGCTTACATTTATGTCTTTTGTGTGTTGTATCAATTCATGTCCCTTCTTGCCCTTATTTCTTCTTTTACAAATGACTCATGTTTTTGATTTCAATGTGTTGGTGATGTTCTGTTAGCTGAGTAAGACTTAGATGAGTCAGAACTATTTACTTTTCATTGTTTCATTTTAAAAATGAAGGCGTGGCAAAGGGGGTGTGGGAGATGCATGTTTTTGCATGTTTTTTTAAGTGTATTCACATTGTTTTACTGCTTGTTAAAAGGATTCTTTGTTTTAGTTTTTTTTTTAATTTGGTTTGCTGTGTGACCTCCAAAAATATCCAGTAAGAAAAAAGTTATTAAAAAAGATGTTAATATGAAAACAGTGTTTGTCTTTGTCACTGTTGCTTTAAAGGGTGTCTACAGGTCTTGAAAAATCTCAAGAAGCATTGAATTTAGTTTTCCTCAAAAAAACAGTAACAGGAATGATAGTTTTAAAATTTGTTTGCATCAAATTTCCATCTATCAGGAGAAATTACACTTCTGTAAACAGCTGGGAAAGTTACTTGGAAACTGTTAAAATCTGTTACTCATTACACATTATTCATTGAAAACGTAATCACATTACTTTACTAATTACTCAGCAGGAAAAGTGATGTTACATTCCTTATTACTTTACCACCATTTCTCAACTGTCATCTCCCATTCAACTCCAACTCCTCCACAGCCTCATGTCGCTGCTTTTGATTTAACACATGTAGAAATAGAAACACATTTTACCGCTCTTAAATAGCTGTTTTATATTGAACCAGCAAGGACAGCGCTTCAGTTGCGTGCCTCTCTACTAAGGTGTGGCTCAAGGGCATGACACTGATTTATGTTGGCAGCAAGCCGCCTGCTCCCCTCACTCTGAGCACCATCAGTACCATCTCCTGCCTGCTGTCTGCCATGCTGTGAGCAGAGGTTTGGGAGATTAAACACACACACTGATCTTTTCATCCCAGTGTCACCTTTCCCTCAGGTTTTTCCATTATCTCTGACTTCCTTTTTTTTTTTTTTTTCTTTTTCTTTTGTATAGAGCGTGATGAGGCCGTAGTCTCAGTATCGGTTTCTTTTTGATGACAACACAATCTGACGCATCCAATGTATCAAAAGTAGTGGACAAACATTTATTAATACAGACACCAATTTAAAGCCAAAGTGAAAAGTATAAAAGGAATTAAATCAATGATTAAAGGTTGCTTTGCTTTCACTGACTAACACAAATGGTCCCACACTGTTCAAACAACTGATACTTTCAGTGACACCTGATTTTGAGGTTTGCTTTACGCCCTAACCTTGCTGGGTCAAAAATCAAATCAGGACATTAATTATTTGGTGGTATAAGCAGATGAAGTGAGTGTAACTCTGTGTTCTGTTCAGTAAATCTACAGCAGCAGTAGAGTCCATGAGATCAGAAAGTCATTTCTAACTTAAAGCCTTGCTGGTGATTGAGACTTAAGATGGAGACACATCACTCTGCAGCCCGAGCCAGCCCCAAGGCATTGTGGGACAGAGGAGGACATAGTGAAGAGAGATTAAGAGAAATACATTTTTTTTTTCTGTATTATCCTTCAAGAACTTTATCTGAATGTGATGTGCTAAGCAGTAGTGAACTGAATTGCTGGTAAGGTTGTCATATCTTCTGTCTGTGAGTGTGGGACCTTCTGTCAGGTGAATATGCAGTTCGTCTCTATCTCCAGAATGTGTCTGAGGCAACAAGGACAGCAAATGGAAATGAGCTGCGGTTATCACAGAGGTCGTAGTCCCGATCACAGTCTATCTGTCCGCAGTCTTATCTTAAAACACACTGTAGTTCAGTCAAGCGCTCCTGTGTGTGTGTGTGTGTGTGTGTGTGTGTGTGTGAGAGAGAGAGAGAGAGAAACTTGCCAAGAGACCAACATTCCCAAGACCTGGTATATGCAGCACCTATATATAGTGTCACACCAAGACCTGGAACTGTCACTTTGCAAACATTTAGACTGGGCACACAGGCTCTGACGCATGTGATGTGATGTGTACATGCCGCATTCAAATGACATTAGTTTTTACAATGTAAAGAATTCCTGTCCCTGGACACTACAGGGGTGTTTGCAATCAATTCTCTGGCTGATTGACACGCCCACACCTTCTTAAAAAGAGATCTAATCAGACAGAGAATTGAAAACACCTGTGCAGGTGAACTACAGAGAAACAAAGCCATGACGTCACGTAAGCATCTGGCTCACTCACCTCTGTAAGTCAGTGCAATAACTCATTTTTGTTGTTGTGATTTTAGCGGGGCTATGTTTCTCTGCCGCTGAATGAATGCAGTTTCTTATATTGCGTTTACAAGAGGTTATAAACAAACTGCAAACTGAGCAGCGTGACGTCTTCAGGGCAAACCTGGGCACTAAAGTGACGACAGAGGCCGGCAGGGCTGCGGCTAGCCGGTCAACATGCTAACTTCAGTAGAAGAAAAGAAAGGGACAGAAATAGAGGCAAGAGTTAACAACTTTCCACTTCTGGAGACTCCTCTTGGTGAGTAAAAAGGCGAAGGTTGATGCTGAACTTGCAACATTTCTTCCAGACTGGTAAGTAAAACAGCTGTTAATGCTAATGTTAGCTCTGTAACTCATTTAAAGTGAAATAATGATTACTTTGAGAGCACAGAGAACGATACAGCTATCATGCAGCAGCAGGGATACCCATCATAATCATGTGATTTTTTTTCATCTTTCTAGCTATAATGTCTGAAGTCTAGAAAACCTCTAAAACATTTAATCCTCTCTGTCATCCTATTATTACCCCTCGGCCTTTCTGTTGAGCTGTGACGTTTAGCCTGCAAACAGCTAGGGCTCATGGGAAATGGTGTTAGTTAAAGGCCACTAAAAATGTAAAATCCTCAATAAACAACAATATTTGACTTTTTTTTTTTTTTTAAACTACCCTCTTTATGTAAAGATGAGTAGGGAGCCGCATGACATGTTTTTGAAACCGGCTCTATTTCAATGCTGTATTTTGAGTTATTAGCATAGTTACAAATGTCAGTGGGATTTTTGAATGAGGTTTCAGCTCTCTGTGGCCTCATGTACACTTGTCTTTTAAAGTGTGGACCTGATAAAACTGGAGCTATTTGATAACTGCCAAACATGTCAGAACGGGTTTAGCATGTTAGCAGGTTAGTTATTATAAGGGAGCTAACAATCCTTAAACTAGCAAACACATGGATAAGTCATATTTCTGAACTAGTGAGACAAATGTTTTATTACCTTAGCGGGCCTTCGCTTACACCGCACCCACAACAATCATATAGATATTAAACTGATCAGACATCTGTAAATACATGCTACAACAGCTCTCTGTGCTGTCTGGATGATGTTCGATCACTCAAGGCACTTTTCCCCTGTCACTTTAATGAGACTGGGAGAGTGACGGCTAATTTCAATGTAAATTCAGTTGCCATTATCACAGGGACAGAAAGTGTTGCTTTCGAAAAGCTCTGCAACATCTGTGTCCTCGTTTGATTTCCATGTTATCCAAGCATGTGGTAGTAGTGTAGACATTTAAAGGTTCAAGTCAAAAATCAATACATTTGAATCTCTACATGTACAAGTCTAGGAGCTTGATTAGACCTGGAAGTTTATAGTAAGAACTGGAAGACTGTTACAAAAAAAAGTGTAAATTAAGTTGATGGGGTTGTTTCTTTGTCTGAAACAAAAGGAAAAAGTGCAAACTTCAAATGTCAAACACTTTGTTCTTTTAGAGGGTTCATCGTCTCTTTATACCTTGTTTCGTATCTAAAAAGACTCAAACAAATATGTCAACATCCAAGTGCTCTGTGGGGTCAGATTCAAGGCAAAAAAACAGAAATCAGTCAGCACACCGCCACCCATCAATGATCCTACATCCTGTGCTTTGATGTGCATAACTTGAAAATACTTGTTTAATCCAGAACATGCAATGACTGACAGGAAAAAGAAATTGTTTTCTCTCCAAAGCTCGGCGAGGACTGTGCTCGTCAGTTAGCCAACTTCATCTCTCCCGCTCTTACTGAACATTTTAATAGACAGTTTGACTGCCTGTTTCCGCTCAAGAATTTTTTATCAAGGTGACTTCACTCTCACGAGGGTATTTATAGGCTCCATTTTTTGTGGTGTGTGTGTGTGTGTGTGTGTACGTGCTGGTGCATTAATGTATGTATGATCCGAGTTATCTCGGTTAAAAAAGGCTCTAGAGGCAGCAGGTATTGTGCAGCATTCTGGTCTTTCATGATACATGTTCTTAGCAGGGAGCCGTAGGTGCAGATTTCTCACTCTGACTCTCTTAACTTTTCTCTCTTGTAGGAGGTCATTCTTTCTTTCCTTCTTGCCTCCTGCCAATCTTTACATAAATTACCCAAACCCCCTTCAACACCCCACTTGCTCCATTATTCTCCTCATCTGTCTTTCCCGCTGCCTTCCTGTCCACCCACTGTATCTGTTTCTTTTTCATACAGTTTCCACAGCAGCATCATCATCATTTCTTTCTGAGCTCCTCATCGATTTCTTTTTTCCACCCCATGCTGCCTCTCATCTTCTTCTGTCTTTGTTTCTCTCCTACCCACCACCAGTTAAATAAACCTTCCCTTTTGCCCTCTCTCTCTCCATCATAAACAGATTTGGCCTGAGGGCATTCATGTACGTTTTTTTTTTCCTGCTTCACTTGGAGAGCCAGAGGCCATGCCGAAACCAAGGCCAGCATGCACAGTGCATGCTGTGTGCCTGCACTTATGCATGTTAACTCTTGAGAGATGGAAAGATTTTAAATTGCCAGTGCGAGCCAGTTTATAAAGCTGTGAACAACATGAATTGAGGCACGTGATGGATCATTACTTAAATGGTGATTTTATTGGATGCAGTTACGACATGTATAATGTTTCAGGCTCTCATTAGTAGTACCATACCTACTTTCCCGGTAGTACGGTATAACTGGCAGATTCAACATTGGCATGTTTATATGGCATGCATACCTAATAAGTGGATCATTAAATTATAGCACACTCCCAGGAAGGCTATGAGTGGCAACAGAGGGAGATGGAGCACCACATTAAATATAACAATGGCAGAGAATTCACTAGAAATGAAAGCTTACAGTGATGCTATTAGATACATCAAGCATTTATAAGAGGTTTACCACACGTTTGCCACCAAGGATGCTCGGTTACACAAGACCCACAACAGACTGGAACCAGAGACTGCTGTACCAAAAACAACAGCAGCAATATTAATGCAAGCCAAAAAATGGGATGATAAACAATAAACAATAGAATCAAAACACATGATGTAGAGCTAGACTTGATGA